TGAATAAAATACTGTCTAAAACACTTACACAATAAATAACTATTAAATAAATAATTTTTAAAAATTTATTAAATTTAGCGCCATCTAGTGGTCACAATTATTAATGTTAAATGTAAACATAACCTAAAGTAAACGTCAAAATGGTAAAATGGAAAAAAATTTTATATGAAAATCAAGGATTTTCCGATAATTATACCGATAAAACCTTTTTAAAAGATTTACGCAAAAATGTAAATTCACAAGAAATCGCTTTAAAAGATTGTTTATTAGGAGCAAGTTATTTGATACAAGAACTTTCGATAGTGGTCAGTTTTGTATTGATTTACGTGTTTTTATATAATAATTGGTTACCGGCAAATACGGTATTATTAACGGCAATAGCAACGATTTTATTGGGATTTGTTTTGTATAGGAAAGCGATAAAACCAGAAACATTCCGAAGTGCCTTTACAAGCATTAGAACATTCATAATCTTTTTTATATTTGCTTATTTCTTTTCACCCGTTTTATACACGTTAACCGTTACAATAAGTACAGATACGATTTACACAAGTACTTTTTATATGATGCTTATTCATTTAATATTTTTCGATTATGGAGTAGCTGCAGCAATCGTTTCTAATAGTTTATCGATAAGCGCCGCAATGTTCGCCTCGATATGTTTAGCTTCACGATTACAATCATCTTACCACTCCTTAGTTCTTATTACTATCGCTATTGAATGCTTTATATTATCTCCGATTTTGCGCAAGAGTTACTCAACTTACAAAATAACCCCTTTATTAATTTTAGGAATAATATTAGTTTTATTTAATATATGTACGGTTTGTTTAGTTTTATACACATTCGTTTTGATATTTATTTGTTTAATATGCCCAATGTTATTTACGAAATACCAAAATTATAAAAGAAACATTTACGGTCCATGGGACGAGGCAATAATAGATAACGCAGCGCATATTAATGATCTTATTTATTCATAGAAAAAAGTGTTAACAATACTATTTTTTAAGAAATTGTATACAAACGTGTAAAAATAAATGTATTCTTGTTATCATTTAACGGGTACAAATTGTATTAGATCCTTGTGGAAATATCACCAATTATTAATTAAAGTATCCTCTTTTTAATGCAAAAAGCCGTTTTGAAAAATTATTTTCAGTTCTTGAGAAATGAATTTTTGAAATTATGTTCGAATTTTACAATTTTCGCCGATTAAGTTTTAAAAATTCGTATAAAATCGATTTTTTGGAATATGAGTATGAAAATTTCCCAAAATGTTGATAAAAGTGTCCTCTTTCCAATGATCCAACCCATTTTGAAAAATAACTTTTAGTTTTTGAGAAAACAATATTTGAAAGGGTATCGTTCCATCACTACTTAACAATATTAATTTATAGATATACAGTGTGTTCGTAAAGTAGTGGAAATTTTTTGCGTGTTATGACGTCATCGATATTTTTTCCAAATGGCAATCCCATTTTTATTACGGAATATGAAAGAGGATTTTTTTCTTAATCTAATACAGTCAATATTAATATTGGTTCTTTTACCGCTACAGCTCTGGGTGGGTCTTGACTTTCTCAACTATCTTCTTTCAGTCCATCTGGTCTTCAGCGATCCTCTTCCAATTTTTCATGCTCAGAACCCTGGCATCATCATCCACTCTATCTTGTCCCTACTTCTTGAGTTTGCCTTGTTTGCTCTAAAAGCTATGCTCGTAGCTCTTTTTTTGGTCATTCTGATAATGTGTCCAAATCATCTAAGTCTTTGTGACCTTACTTTGTGCCTCCCATCAAAACTCGGAGTTCAAAATGCATTCTTCTCCGTATTCCATCATTAGTCCAAATATTCTACGGAGTATCTTTCCCTCAAAGACCCGAAGTGCGCTTTTGCTCACTTCCGGCAGATTCTCATCCCCTTCTAGATATGTCCTTTGATTTGAGAATCCTCATGTGCCCATAGTAACATCTATTTGCAGCCTGTATTCTGACTTGTATTCTTGCTGTTATGTTATTGTCACTTGTAAAGATTACACCTAGATACTTGAATGTTATAGTTTCAGGTCTTTCCCTCTCCGCAAGTCTCTCATAGCTTCTTCTTCCTTTCTTCTCATAGCCTCATATAGGCATATTTGGAATGACTTTGTCATTATGCTGCCTTTGTTTTCGAGGACACCATTCCGTATCTCAAAAACATCTTAAATTATACTCAAACCTGGTCCTCTGTATATATGTTCACCACATTCAACAATTCCGAGAAGTATTCATCCCATCTCTTCATAACCTCCTCTTCCGCGGTCAGGAATGTACATCATCTGACTTTATATTTCTATTGGGAGCTTGGATACTCGGGCAAAGGAGTTCCTTTTTGTATTCTCTTATTGTATATTCTAGCAATCTTCAACTCCTAATTGAAGCCACATAATTTCTGAATTCTCAATATTTTCTCCTTGCTTCATCAACGAGTTATGGAAATCTTTCTTGGCTTTTCCATTACCTTTTGGGTGCTGTGGTGATGAAGTGCGATATATTCACACCTTGACTGAATGATAAGATAAAATCTCGTCTTTATCTAAGCCAATAGACACTTGGACAATGGAAGAGATGTATTCAAGATCTTCAGACTGTCGAGATTTTTGTTAGGAATAACAACACAGAAAATTGGTCCGACACTGCTGAACAACCTTAGCATTGTGCGCAAGTATTGCGTTCTGTTGGAATGTCCAAGGGTGTTCGTTGAAGTAAGATTGGCTCCAAGGAAGGAGCACTTCCTTCATCAGAATCTCATCAAAGTAGTTCTGTGAGTTGATTTTGACCCCCTGATCAACAAAAATCAGTGTCTTCCCGTTCGAATCACTCCATTGCAAACCATGACCTGCGCAACATAGCGATTCTTCTTCCATTTTTGCAGAAATCTTTTACTCTCTTAATTAATATTGGTTACATAATAAAAGTTGACATAATAAAAATAGCAAAAACCATAAGTAACTACGGTAACCAACCCTTTGAAACAATTTCTTAAATGTCAAAAAATGATTTAGTAAAGCTTGTTGAAGTGTGGTGGTGCGCCATCTTGTTGGAATTGAGTTGGGTTAATATTATGATAACGTTTTGAAAAAAACATCTAAACATCCCTCTCCAGTTAAGGTTTCCACAAACTACATACTTCGCTCCATACATTGCATCTTGCTGATATTGTTCCTTTTTCGGAAAAAATTGTTTTTGACAAAGTCTTCGTCATCGTTCCAAAATTGTTGTTGCAAAAGGTATCTCATTAGATAGACAGATTTCTTTATTGTTGTGCAAATTGGTGCTGTCAAAGAGCTGGAGTGCCTCAGCATTCATGTGTTGAAGAAGTCGTTGTTCCTGCAATTTTGGGAATTATTTAATTAACAGTCTCTATTTCAAGGTCCTTGTAGAGATCACAGTTGTGGAAGTACCAAGATGCATCGACCATGTCTCTTAGTGCTTTGTTTTTGTAGTCGTTGAATGATTTTAATATTACTTTTACTAGCACAGCATCAAAGTTGTAGGTGGTATAACCATGCTGGGTTTAGTATTTCGCCGAGTTACCATGTGGGATTCGGATATAATTTACTTTGATGGGTATATGCTGCTTTTTTTCTACTTGTCCATAGAGGATTGTAATTTTTCCTATTGCCATGATAGCTGTGTCATTTGCAAACGTTGCAATGGTGTTTTGTTCAAGATCAGGAATATACACTACCTTGTAGCACTGCTTATCTCAGCTTTATTTTAAAATATCTTCCTGTAAGATATGATTTTATCAATTGAGATGTTGTTGTTACAAGATTTTATTCAATTTATGAAGTAAGCCTTCGTGCCAGACTTTATTAAAAGCCTGAACTACATCTACGAATATTGCAGAGCAGACTTCTTTCCCTCTAAAGACTTTTCAATAATCCTTGTAATCCTGTGTATCTGGTATGGCGGTATGGTTCGAAGGGATTAAGTTCTTTTCCTCTATTGTCGGTTTTAATCTTTTAAGAAATAAAAAAAGGACTTACATGTCTTGATTCAAATGATTCAAAAAAAACGAAACGTCAAATAACATGTTTTGAATGTGATAAGGCAGGATTTATTAAAAGCAATTATCCCAAGAACCTAAATTTTAAATCAAGAGTGGAAATGTGTGGTAGTCGTGTTACAAAAGATATTTTACATAATCTAGAGACAAAAAATTAAAAATAACACATTTAGAGCCATTTTCAGAGGCGCGTAATTTGTTTTGGTACTGCCAAATTAGAATTGTGTGTGCTCATCGTGTTCCATGGATCATTTTGAACATTTTAGGAACAAAAAAAAAATAAAAAATTTAAAATTGCGAATTTAGGAGTTAAGGGACCAAGTATTTTTATGATTGCCAAAATCGAAATGTGTGTATTAGTCGTGTTACAGAGGATATTTTACACATTTTAGAAGCAAAAAAATGTTGAAAAATTAAAATTGCAAATTTAGAGTTACACTTTGCAGTCGTGTAATTTTTTTTGCTACTGCCAAATTTGAATTGTGTGCACTCATCGTGTTCCTTAAGTCATTTTGAACATCTTAGGAACTAAAAGAATTGTGGAAATGTATCCGATGAGAATGCTCTACGAGGATTGTCAATATTATTAGATGATTTTGCTCTGAGTTGGTGATATGGGTTAAAAGAGACGGTATTAACGTGGAAAGATGTCTCAATTTTGCTAAAGAGTACGTTTGGACCGTAGAAACCTCAATATATTTACTGCAACTACTTCATTTTCTGCAACAGCCAAGATCGCTGTGTCATCTGAGAATATAGATGTTAGAGTTTCTGGTATCTGAGGAAAATCGAAGGTGTAGAGTAAATACAATGTTGGGTTTTGGTATTATTATTATTTCAGCAACTTTCCACATACTTGGGAAGCATTTCTGTTTAAAAACAGCATTAATTAGGTGTAATAGTTTTGTAATCGCCCGTTTTGGTGGATGTTTCAAAGTTTTTCCATTAATTAAGTCATAGCTTGCTAATTTCGTTGTTGTATTTCATAATAAAGCTCTTCTAGTGAAAATAATCAGTACTGGTGGCATCATCAGTAAAATCTTTTAAGTAATTTTGAATATAATTTTGTATGATGACGCCATAACTCGTCAAAAAATTACAACAAATTTCAATCTTTAGACCCGTTTCAGGGATTTTTCCATAAACGGTTTATAATTTTATAATGATTTTATCCGTTACTTTACGAACACACTCTATTTTATATCTATAAACAATTAAATTAAATCTTTAATTAGTTTTGGGGTAATTTTAATTTTTATTTAAATTAGGTTGGTGTCACTTAATTCAACTTCGTGTCAATCGAACCATAAACGTCAAAAAAAAATCTTAACCTAATTTTGTTTTAATTTACGATATTCCATCTGATACGGTTATTTATGATCGCAAATTGAATCAATCGTAAAATTACTTGAGACAATTTCCACTTTAAACGCGTTTAAACAACTTTTATTGGCACCTTGTAGTAATCTCCAGTTTGTTGATATTTTTTTATTAAAAGAGCACGTGATGATGCTAAACAACATTATCTTTTTATTTTTATTTTTTTTCCGTGTGTCACTGTCACATGAGATGAATACTTTCGGTAATTGTTAAATGATAAATTAAAAATAAATTAGATAATTACCCTATTAAATAATTTGGGAATAATTAATGAGGTGAAAGTTGTTTTTTTTTGTATTTAACCTCACTTATTTTTCTTTAATTATTTCAATGTTGACCAACCTTACGTTGCCATGGAAACGTCATTACATTCATAAATTTTCATAATAAATTTATGTATGTTGAGAGTTATCAATTATCTTAAAATAAAGGGTAAGTCATCCGTTATAATTTATAACTAATAAATTATTTATTATCGTACAATAAAAAAATAAATTATAACAAAAAAAATTACGAGTTAAACTTAAATCCGTTTGTCGAGTTGTAAATTTTAATCCTCCTCTCTCAAGTGAAGAATAACAATAAAAATAACCGTCCAATTAAAAATGTATTAAAACGTAACCAACAAAACAATCGTGTTCGTTTTAAAACGTTTAAAGTCCTCTATACGCAAGAGAATGAATTAAATGCGTTTAAATTTCTTAATCCTTACTCAGTGCTTTTTCTAACTTTACAGCGAAAACATGAGTCAATCGGAGAGCGACGTTCAAGGAATCGGAGGTGGCGGAAAAAAAGATGACGGAAATCATGCTTATACAAACCCGGCTTTGAGTAGTTCTAGTGATAGTATTAACGATAATTATGGAAATCTCAATAAAGGGAGTGAAGCTTTTATTGGTAAGTTTATTTTAATTAATTTTTGAATTAAACGTCAAATTTTGACATTTCAATGTTTTGACAGAAAGTTTTGCCAACTTAAAATTAAATAAAATAATAAAGTTACTATAGTAAAACCTCGATATATTCTAACTCGGTATGTTTATATTGGAGTTATTCCCCAAGAAGTTAAGAGAAGTATTTTTGTTATTGCCAAAATTGAAATGTGTGTATTAGTCGTGTTACAAAGGATATGTTCCATATTCTAGAAGCAAAAATTTTTCAAAAAATAAAAATTGCAAATTTATAGCTAAAATGACTTCTTGCAATCGCTTAATNCAAGAAGTTAAGAGAAGTATTTTTGTTATTGCCAAAATTGAAATGTGTGTATTAGTCGTGTTACAAAGGATATGTTCCATATTCTAGAAGCAAAAAATTTTCAAAAAATAAAGTGCAAATTTATAGCTAAAATGACTTCTTGCAATCGCGTAATTTTTTTTTGGTGCTGCCAAATTTGAATTGTGTTTACTTATCGTGTTCCTTAGATCATTTCGAACATCTTAAGAACAAAAATAAATTAAAAAAAATTAAATTGCGAATTTATAAGTTAAACTACATCATTAGAAACTGGTGAAAGATACAGATGAAATAAGTATAGATTATGATTTCTTGATGCATTACGAACATCTTTCATCCATAACGTCTTCCTCTATCAGTTTTAGTACTTCCGTCATAGTTGATTTTATTAAGAAATATCGTCCAATCTTGATAATTTATGCCACATCACTAGAAACCGGTGATAGATAAATATAATATGATTATGGATTATGATTTCTTGATGCGTTAGGAACATTTTTAATCCATAATGTTTTTCTCCATCAGTTTTAGTACTTCCGTCATAGTTGATTTTATTAAGAAATATCATCCGATCTTGATAATTTATGCCACATCACTAGAAACCAGTGATAGATAAATATAATATGATTATGGATTATGATTTCTTGATGCATTAGGAACATCTTTTATCCATAACGTCTTTCTCCATCAGCTTCAGTACTTCCGTCATAGTTGATTTTATTAAGAAAAATCGTTCAATTTTGACATTTTGATGATTTATGCCACATCACTAAAAACTGGTTATAGATACATATAAAATAATTATAGATTATGATTTCTTGATGCATTAGGAACATTTTTTATCCATAACATCTTTCTCCATTAGTTTTAGTACTTCCGTCATAGTTGATTTTATTAAGAAATATCGTCCGATCTTGATAATTTATGCCACATCACTAGAAACCAGTGATAGATAAATATAATATGATTATGGATTATGATTTCTTGATGCGTTAGGAACATTTTTTATCCATAACGTCTTTCTCCATCAGTTTTAGTACTTCCGTCATAGTTGATTTTATTAAGAAATATCGTCCAATCTTGATAATTTATGCCACATCACTAGAAACCGGTGATAGATAAATATAATATGATTATGGATTATGATTTCTTGATGCGTTAGGAACATTTTTTATCCATAATGTTTTTCTCCATCAGTTTTAGTACTTCCGTCATAGTTGATTTTATTAAGAAATATCGTCCAATCTTGATAATTTATGCCACATCAGTAGAAACCGGTGATAGATAAATACAATACGATTATGGGTTATGATTTCTTGATGCGTTAGGAACATTTTTTATTCATAACGTCTTTCTCCATCAGCTTCAGTACTTCCGTCATAGTTGATTTTATTAAGAAAAATCGTTCATTTTTGACATTTTGAGGATTTATGCCACATCACTAAAAACTGGTGATAGATACATATAAAATAATTATAGATTATGATTTCCTGACGCATTAGGAACATTTTTTATCCATAACGTTTTTCTCCATCAGTTTTAGTACTTCCGTCATAGTTGAATTTATTAAGAAAAATCGTCCAATCTTGATATTTTATGATTTATGCTACATCACTAGAAACCGGTGATAGATAACTATGATATAATTATGGATTATGATTTCTTGATGCATTAGGAACATTTTTTATCCATAACGTTTTTCTCCATCAGTTTTAGTACTTCCGTCATAGTTGAATTTATTAAGAAAAATCGTCCAATCTTGATATTTTATGATTTATGCTACATCACTAGAAACCGGTGATAGATAACTATGATATAATTATGGATTATGATTTCTTGATGCATTAGGAACATTTTTTATCCATAACGTTTTTCTCCATCAGTTTTAGTACTTCCGTCATAGTTGAATTTATTAAGAAAAATCGTCCAATCTTGATATTTTATGATTTATGCTACATCACTAGAAACCGGTGATAGATAACTATGATATAATTATGGATTATGATTTCTTGATGCATTAGGAACATTTTTTATCCATAACGTTTTTCTCCATCAGTTTTAGTACTTCCGTCATAGTTGATTTTATTAAGAAATATCGTCCAATCTTGATAATTTATGCCACATCACTAGAAACCAGTGATAGATAAATATAATATGATTATGGATTATGATTTCTTGATGCGTTAGGAACATTTTTTATCCATAACGTCTTTCTCCATCAGTTTTACTACTTCCGTCATAGTTGATTTTATTAAGAAAAATCGTCCAATCTTGATATTTTATGATTTATGCTACATCACTAAAAACTGGTGATAGATACATATAAAATTATTATAAATTATGATTTCTTGATGCATTAGGAACATTTTTTATCCATAATATTTTTCTCCATCAGTTTTAGTACTTCCGTCATAGTTGATTTTATTAAGAAAAATCGTCCAATCTTGATATTTTATGATTTATGCTACATCACTAGAAACCGGTGATAGATAAATATGATATAATTATGGATTATGATTTCTTGATGCATTAGGAACATTTTTTATCCATAACGTTTTTCTCCATCAGTTTTAGTACTTCCGTCATAGTTGATTTTATTAAGAAAAATCGTCCAATCTTGATATTTTATGATTTATGCTACATCACTAGAAACCGGTGATAGATAAATATAAAATAAGTATGGATTATGATTTCTTGATGTATTAGGAACATTTTTTATCCATAACGTCTTTCTCCATCAGCTTTAATACTTCCGTCATAGTTGATTTCATTAAGAAATATCGTCCAATCTTGATAATTTATGCCACATCACTAGAAACCGGTGATAGATAAATATAATATGATTATGGATTATGATTTCTTGATCCATTAGGAACATTTTTATCCATACCGTTTTTCTCTATCAGTTTTAGTATTTCCGTCATAGTTAAAATTACGAATTTGAGGGACAAAGTATTTTTATCATTGCCAAAATTGAAATGTGTGTATTAGTCGTGTTACAAAGGATATTTTACATATTTTAGAAGCAAAAAATTTTCATAAAATAGAAATTGCAAATTTAGATCTAAATAATGACTTTTTGCAATCGCGTAATTATTTTTTGGTACTGCCAAATTTTAATTGTGGGTGCTCATCGTGTTCCTTGAATCATTTTGAACATCTTAGGAACAAAAAAAAATAAAAAAATTAAAATTGCGAATTTAGAATTTAAGGAAACAAGTATTTTTTTATTGCCAAAATTTAAATGTGTGTATTAGTCGTGTTACAAATAATATTTTCCATATTCTAGAAGCACAAAATTTTGAAAAAATAAAAATTACATATTTATAGAAAAAAAAATGATTTTTTGCAACTGCCAAATTTGAATTGAGTGTGCTCATCGTGTTCCTTGGGTCATTTTGAACATCATAGAAACAAAAAAAAACATAAAAAGTATAGTATTAGTCTAACTAAATGTCTTCGAACATTTTAAATAAATTACTTTAAGTGGTTTTCTGACAATAGTCAGGTTCCACCAAAAACTTATCTAAAGCTGGTCTATAATGTAATCGTTCAGGGCCATTAGGCTTATCCCGGAATTTGAAAGAAAAAAAAAGACAAATCGCGCCAAGATTATATTTTTTCAAAAAAAACAAATTTTTAATTACCTTTCTTAATATTAAAACAGCCTCGATTAATTTTCGCGTACATTCCACACACACAATTTTGATTTATACTGATTCATAAATTATTTTTCTCGTGATTATTTAACTGTCTAATATTAATAAATAAAATACGAGGGACGTTAAGTTTTTAATCTTAAGATATCGATAAAGTTAAAGCTAAGCTTACGGTATCGAAAGCCGTTTAGAAATTCATTTTAAATCCGAGTTGATTGTGCTGACCGATAAAAGGGACAGTTCCTTGCCGAATTAATTCAGAACGGGCAAAAATTTTCTAGCAAAACATTTTCCAACTAAACTCGAATTAAAAAAGATTTTTGTTTGGTAAAGTTAGTTTGTTAAAGTTAGTTTTTAATTAAAAAAAAATGGATAATCGCAATAAAGACGACGATTTTGAAGGTAATTAATTAAATTATTTAGTGTTTTAATTTAAAAATTTATTATTTATGGGTTAAAATAAAATTTTTAGATTAGTTTATAATAAATATTATTAGTTTTGAAATAATTTTTTTTTAATTATTAAACAACAGAATTCCTGGTGATAGTGGCTTTAATCCGGGATGATTTATAAGGTGTTTATTAGAGACCGAAATCAGAGATAATCGGCAATATTTCTTTATGAGATAAAATAAAAAAAAAATATTAAATAATACTTTTTTTTTTAAGTGGGCACTAGAATCACGAGGTGTCGATGTTTTTCTTTATCTTTAAGAATTATTTCCGTATAAAAAGATTAGTTTGGTAATTTGCTTTCAATTAAAATCAACAACAAAATTTATTCTTAGAAATAATAATAAAAATTATCTTTAAAGCAATTATGGAAAAATTATTTTAGAAATTTATATCACCATTCTTATTTATTCTCATTACCATCAAAAGTTGCATGATCTTGGCTAGATACTTCTTTACAAGCGGGACATCCGGCTTGCTGATTTTGGGCAGACCATAGAGTTTGAAACACATGCTTGATTTTGAATTTCTTGCTACTGGTTTGTAAGCTTAGGTTATTTTTAAAACGTTTTAGGATCTAGAGTTCACTTGGCACCAAGTTGGGCTTGCGTGGTTTGGCTAAACATAGGATCTTGGAGATATCCATTCTCAGAATTTGCCCTCGAATTTCTTATGGAGTTTTCTGGTTTTTAGAGCTTTCTTGGTTCCGCTATGCCAAAGCGTTAGAACTTCTCAACGAGTCCAGATGATGGTGTGCAACTCTTGGCTCAATAATAGATGAAGTTTGTAGAGCTCGTTTTCAGTGTCGTTAAGGTTCTTCCTCGTTTGGTAAATTTCCTCTCTGAGAAGGGAGTTGCTGGCTCGTCTGAGGATGGCTTGAATTTGTCGGGATCTGGTGTGATAAGCTAGTCTGGTGAAAGTCGTTCTTTTCTCTCAGTCTTTTGCAAAGCTTAGTTTTTCTGTAGGTTTCCTCCTTGTAGAGGTGTAATTGTATTTTATGGGTCAAGTAATCAAGTCATTGTGAGTCAAAATATTTTACTTGAATTTTTATAACGCCAGATTCATTACAGATGGCAAAATTAATACGGCAGCACTAAAAGTCTAGCTCCTGATGTTGTTCCATCAATATTGTTAAATAAATACTGGGAATCTTTAGCCATTCTGCTTGACAATTTGCTATTTTCAATTTCTCAAGGTGTAGAAACAATTTCTGTATTTCTGTATAAATTCTAATGATATTGTATTATGAGGAACACTTTTCAAAAAGTTGCTTTATGCTCTAGGATTCTTGCAATTTGCGTAATATGGATTAAATTAGGTGTTATATTGATAAGTTTATCTTACTAGTGACATTTCAAACTTGTCGACTTCAGAAGTTTCTGTAAATTTAATTACAAATACTAGAGTCAAAATGATGATTCGTGTAAAAATTTCGTAAGAAAATAATCTAGAGTTTGATTTTGTACTTTTAAACTGGTTTTTATTTTATATAGAACTTAAGTCTCACTAGTTTCGGGCCTTGGCCATCATCAGAGACTCTAAAAATAAATTACCATCTCTCATCTTATCCATTTTACAAACAAGTTTCTTAATATTTCTTTTGCTTTTGTGAAAAAAGATCACATATCAAAGTCGAAATCAGATTATTAGTTACTAATTTACAAAATTGAAGTTTAAAGAGTTGTAAAATGAAGTTAAGGACGAAGTGTTACAAGTTTATAAGTTAAAATTTAAGAACGCTCTTTTTTAACAAAAGAAATATTAAGAAAAAAAGTGACTACCACTAGATTAACTTCAGTTATAAAACTTCTATTATATGATAACTAACTTCAGGTTTAAAATGTCAACCTCAATTTTGACATATTTGTAATCTTCATTAAAAATCCTTTAAAATGAGTACAAACACGACATATTTATCTTCAATATTAATGAAGTTATGGTCAACTTCCGGTTAAGAATGTCAACGTCAATTTTGACATGTTTGTAATTGTCGTGAAAAATCCTTTAAAATGAATCCAAACATGATACGTTTAATTCCAATATTACTCGAGATATAAGCAACTTCCGGTTTGAAATGTCAATGTCATTTTGACATATTCTTAATTTTTATAAAATGTCTTAATATTTGTCACAAAAACAAAAATATAATAAAAAAAAATTAAAAATTAAGGTTGGTATTAATATTTAAAAATTAAATTGCTATCTTCATTGTTGCTAACTTCCGGTTTAATGTTTTTATTCTAACTTTTTTGTTTTTTGAGATAAGTGCGTCATCTTTGGACTCATTTTAAAGGTTTTTTAATGAAGATGACAAATATGTCAAAATTGACGTTGACGTTTCAAACCGGAAGTGATTGTATCTCCGTTAATATTAAATTTAAATATATCGAGTTTGGACTCATTTTAAAGGATATTTTATGAAGTTGACAAATATGTCAAAATTAAAAGTTGAAAGTTCGAACTTTTTGGTCTTTTGAGATAAATGCGTCAAGTTACCTATACAGGGTGGTTCGGTTTTTAATCGGGAAACTTTACTAGGACGTACTACTTGCCAAAATAACACAACTTTTTTATATAAACATAGGGTCGCAACTCTTTTGAGGGAATGAAATTCACAACCCCTTTGATTTTTTTATAACAACTTTTACACGCTATGGAATATTAACATAAAAAAATATGGGTTGTAAAGCTTATTCATTATTGGTACTTTTTTGTCTCTTTAGTTTTTTCCTTAAAGTTAATAGTATTAGCCCAAAAAAATAAAATATGCTACCTTGTACTGTAAAGCACAGCTATTATTAAATATTTTTTTTCTTTATAGCTTGCTATGGAAGTTATGCACTTACTAGGATCTACTACTAACTAAATAACACCAATTAATTGTGATTTTCATGTATGTATGTAACCACCCTGTATATTAATATATTAATGCATATCGGCGGAGCGAAAAGAGTGCGGAACGCCCTCGATGGCCAGGGGCGGCCGATGTCTTCGAAAACGGCCGTGGTAGTTTGAAGTTGTGCTGGAAAATGACGTAGAGGATTCTTGTTTGTTATCTATCTTCTGTCCGTTCTAGGTTTACATTTTCAAGTAACATTTTTTGATGATCGAAAATGGCAGTGTTTGTTTAAAGCTGTCCTGGAAAATGATGTTGACCAAACAGAAATTTGTTATCTATCTTATGTCCATACTAACCTAATTTTTTCAAGTGACATTTTTTGATTAATGTGAATACCATCTACAAGAAATATCATTTTGCACTCTGACAGAATGTTGAAGATAACGAAGACTCAAGCTTTGATGATGACAACTTAATGTTCGTGTTCAATAAATTTGTCATACCATAATAAAATACTTTCTGCATACAACTATTTTTGGAGTTTTTACTCCATAATGGTGTTACAGGTCAGTTTGATTCGTGTAGTGTCCCACCAAGTATAACAGTAGTATGATAAGTCTGACAAACTACCAAAAGCCATTATGTTAAAGTTTTTTTCTTGAATGTGCACCTTTCCAGAAAATTCCAAAGCAGGAATTCGAAAGAATTCCACAGAGCTTCAGATGATGAAGTGTAATTTTTTGGCACGGCAGTGAAGTTGAACCTTTGGACCAAGTGAAAGACAATAAAACAATAATGGTATTCAGACCTTTAAGTTTATTGGTCTTTCCATTTTTTGATTATCTTCTCAGATTCTGTATCTTATGCTTTGTTGCCAATCTAAAAATATAGTAGGAATTAACCTGTTGTTAGTAGAGGTGACGCCGCAGAGGGGAAAAAATTTTAGCTTTTACTTCTGTAATTATTGGTGCTGTCGTGGTCTCCTCTTCAGTTTCATGTCCATCCATGTTCTCCTCGTTTCTTTCATACACAATTTCTGCTTCTCGCGTTCTGATCTTCCAAATCGCTGATTATTTATATTTATATTTGAAATTTCCTTTTTTTTAAGTATTTGCTCCTTTTCATATTTTCTCTTCTTCTATCAACATATTTTGTCTGCTTTGCGATGCTCCTCTTTAAAGATTTCTTTCCTTTCTCGGGTTTGATCGCGATATACTTTCTATATACTTCGTTCTTAATATTAATTGCTACCCTGTATTCGTTATCAAACCACTCAACTCTTTTTTGTTGTTTATTTTCCTAATGTTTCCTTTGCTGCATCGCTCATTGCAGTTTTTAGACGAGTCCACATTTCATCCATTTTATTTTTCTCATTGCCATTTTACTCTTTGTTGCAAAATGAGTAAAACTATTTATTATGGCAATGATTTGTAAGAATATCTTCACATTTTTCCATCCACTTTCTTCATTCACAAACTACCTGTGAGGTTACACTTCAAAGTTTTGTCTTCAATTAAACTACAAAATAAAACTTAATTAAACCTCAAAAACATTCTTAATAATTAATTAATTTGAAACTTATTAAAATTGTTATCGTTTTATTTTATTACAGTTGTGGACGAATCAAAAGAACAACAAAAATTATTGGACAAAGTCGGACCATGGGTAAAAACGAAAGCAGAAAAAGCATTTACCAAAAAAACGCTATACAAAAGAGTCCCAATTTTATCTTGGCTACCAAATTACAACATGGAATGGGCGATCGGAGACTTTGTGGCGGGAATTACGGTCGGTTTAACAGTAATTCCCCAAGCCTTAGCTTATTCAAACATCGCTGGACTTCCAGCGCAGGTAAAAAAAATCTTTCTAGAATTTCTAGAATCTTATTATTTTTAGTCATAATTTAATTTTATTTTTAGTACGGTTTATATGGTTCTTTTTTGGGTTGTTTCGTGTATATAATTTTCGGAAGTTGCAAAGATATCCCAATCGGCCCCACCGCTATCGCTTCACTTCTAACATACCAAGCTGTTAATGGAATGGGACCAGAACACGCCATTTTATTAGCTTTTTTAGCCGGAGTTATTGAATTAGCTATGGGGTTATTAGGATTAGGTTTCCTGATTGATTTCGTATCAGGCCCAGTTTCATCAGGATTCACTTCCGCGGTGGCTCTAATTATTTTTTCGTCCCAAGTTAAAGATATCTTAGGAATTAAAGTGATTGGAAACACATTTTTGGAAATTTGGATTAGTATTTTCGACGATATTCATAACACGACTTTATGGGACCCAATTATGGGGGTTTCGTGTATTGTTGTTTTACTTTTTATGAGGGTAATTAATAATAATAATAATTTTAATCAATAATCTAATTAAAAAAAATTTTGATTTAGAAATTAGCTTTCGTTCAAGTTGGCCCGAAACCCCCAATTCAAGACGAAAAAACAACGACAATCACCGAAGAACCAACTACATTACAAAAAGTGATCAACAAAACAATTTGGTTGATTAGCACCGCGAGGAATGCGATTTTAGTCGTAATTTGTGGATTTATCGGGCTTGCTGTTTACAATGAGGGGCAAACACCCCCTTTTAAGCTTATTGGAGACGTTCCTCAAGGTTTACCTGACATTAAACCACCCCCTTTTGGTTTTACCCGCGGTAATGAAACTTTTACGTTCGGCGAAATGGTTTCGAATTTAGGATCGGGCGTTATTGTAATTCCTCTTATTGCTTTATTGGAAAATATCGCTATTTGTAAAGCTTTTGGTAAGTTTTTTTTGGGTCAAATTATGACATTTTAAATTTTTTGACAGGTTAAGAAGTGGTACCAACTTAAAATTGGAACTAAATTTTTTTAATTTATTTTTTTTTGTAATTTAATAAATGATTTTAATTTATTTATAATTTTAATGCAAATTTCCCTTCATAATATAAAAAAATAATTAATTAATTTTTTGATTTATAACTTTAATTTTCAACAACAAAGTAGTACCAACCCAAAATTAATCATAACCTCACTTTTTCTTATCACTTTTTTTAAATCAATTAAATTTTCTTTTTAGCCGATGGAAAAGCAGTTGATGCAACTCAAGAATTAATATCAACGGGGTTATGTAACATAGCAAATTGCTTCTTTCAAGCTTACCCAGTTAATGGAGCCCTAAGTCGTGGGGCTGTTAATAATTGCAGCGGGGTTCGCACCCCAATGGGAGGCCTCTACACGGGTTTATTAGTTATCTTCGCCTTGCTTTTCTTCACCCCTTATTTCTTTTACATCCCTAAAGCAGCTTTGGCTGGAATAATTATAGCTGCTGTTATTTTTATGGTTGAAGTTAAAGTAGTTAAACCTATGTGGAGAACAAAAAGTTAGTTTCTTTCTTTACATTTATCTTTCTTTATTAATATTAATTTATGATCTTTTAGAAAGTGATTTATTACCTGGAATGGCCACATTCATTGCTTGCCTTCTACTTCCTTTAGAATATGGGATTTTGATTGGAGTTGGTTTAAATCTTGTATTTATTCTTTATCATGCAGCAAGGCCGAAAATTTTGGTGGAAAGATCAACAGTAAGTAATAAAATTATATTAAAATTTAAAAATTTTGACTCTACATAACCTCAATTCCTCTAAAATGAATCCAAGTTCCTAAAATTAATGAAACTTGATTATTTATAGAGTCGAAATGGAATTGATTATTTAATGTTGACGCCAGATCGTTGCTTAATCTTCCCATCTGTTGATTATGTGAGAAGATTAGTGACAAAGCACTCAATAAGACAAGGTGTTCCTGTGGTAATCGATTGTAGTCATATTTATGGGGCTGATTTCACAGCAGCTCAAGTTGTTGAGACTTTAACGAAAGATTTCGCAGCAAGGGACCAACCTTTATACTTTTACAACTTAAAACCGAGCGTTTGCGCCGTTTTCGAGGGGTTATCACCAAAAGAATTTGTAGTGGTTTATGACCAAGATCAGTTGGAGAATTTGTTGAAAGAGAAAAATACATTTAAGCCAAAAGATATTTTCGGAGCTTAATTGTTTAATACTTATCAGTATATTTACAGTATTATTTATCAAAAAATTATTACTAATCGTTTTTAGAATTGGTCCTATTTAGAATTAGGTCTCGTTTACTAGTAGTTTAACAATTTAAGAAGACTATAGAGTGTATTTGTACATAATAATAACTGTGATAATTAATTACTTAAAATAAATAATTATATAAACCACTCAAAAAATCCTTTTCCATCGAAAATAACCTCAAAATTTTCGAAACTGTCACAAACATAACCTCAAAATTTTTTTAACGCACCACAACAAACATAACCTCAAATTTACTTTTTTTTAAATAATTAATAATTAAATAAGAACAGTTTCAAAGCTAAACTAAATCAAAATCTGCATATACAAGTCCTTTTTATTCAAATCGATCAAAATGAATTGATTTAATAAACGATTCATCGAGTAGTGTTTAATTAATTCGATAAAAGCCTCCGTAACGTTTCCACTTAAACCCTCTTAAGCAATCGTCGTAGTTAAACGGTCCCTTTTTAATAATTAATAATAATTAGCGAGTCTCGTGATTTCAATTATTATTGAAACCGCTTTTTTAACATAAACACGTGACACATTAATACGCTGCATTAATTGTGATTGTAATAACTCAAAATAACGACGAGAACGTCGTTTTTTCTTTTAATCTGTCTGATGTAATTGCTAAAGATAAATTTTTCTTTTTTTGATTTAAATTTTAATTAAAAATGGTGTTTTAGCGCCATCTATTAAATGATTTTTGAATTGTATCGATTTGAAGCAGATTCCTTTTTTATTTACGTCAAATCTAACCCAAAAAAGTTACATTTTATATTTCAAGTAAATTTATTCAAAATAATTTCAAATTATGGCTAATAATCGCTTGGAAAAGATTTATACAAGGTAAATACCACTCCAAATTTATTCTTTTATTATAAACAATCATTAATTGTAGAGCGAAAGTTTTAATTTATTCAATAGCTCGTAATTAGGTTGATAGACTTCTTTAGTTCGATGTTTACGAGGCTTTCCCTCCTAAAGAAGAGCCTTGGTTTGATAAAAAAGTTCCTAAATGCGAGTTAAAAAAGATATTTTATCAGGAAGACGAAATTAGGACGTTAGGTTATTTACGATTTAAAAACATTACAAGTTAATATGCTGCATTAATTGTGATTAATAACTCAAAATAACGACGAGAACATCCTTTTTTTAATCTATCTGATTTAATTGCTAAAGATAAATTTTTCTTTTAATTTAAATTTTAATTAGAAATGGTGTTGTAGCGCCATCTATTAAATTATTTTTGAATTATATCGATTTGAACTAGATTCCTTTTTTATTAATGTCAAATCTAACCTAAAAAAGTTACATTTTATATTTGAAGCAATTTCAAGTAAATTTAATCAAAATATTTTTAAATTATGGCTAATAGTCGCTTGGAGAACATTTATACAAGGTAAATAACACTCCAAATTTATTCTTTTATTATAAACACTCATTAATTGTAGAGCGAAAGCTTTAATTGATTCAGGAATTCGTAATTAAGTTGATAGACTTCTTTAATTCGATGTTTACGAGGCTTTCCCTCCTAAAGAAGAGCCTTGGTTTGATAAAAAAGTTCCTAAATGCGAGTTAAAAAAGATATTTTATCAGGAAGACGAAATTAGGAGGTTAGGTTATTTACGATTTAAAAACATTACAAGTTAATACGCTGCATTAATTGTGATTAATAACTCAAAATAACGACGAGAACATTCTTTTTTTTTTAATCTATCTGATGTAATTATTAAAGATAAATTTTTCTTTTTTAATTTAAATTTTAATTAGAAATGGTGTTTTAGCGCCATCTATTACATTATTTTTGAATTATATTGATTTGAAACAGATTCCTTTTTTATTAATGTCAAATCTAACCTAAAAAGGTTACATTTTATATTTGGAGCAATTGCAAGTAAATTTAATCAAAATAGTTTTAAATTATGGTTAATAATCGCTTGGAAAAGATTTATACAAGGTAAATAACACTCAAAATTTATTCTTTTATTATAAACACTCATTAATTGTAGAGCGAAAGTTTTAATTGATTCAGGAGCTCGTAATTAGGTTGATAGACCGCTTTAGTTCGATGTTACGAGGCTTTCCCTCCTAAAATAGAGCCTTGGTTTGATAAAAAAGTTGCGAGTTAAAAAAGATATTTTATCAGGAACACGAAATTAGGACGTTAGGTATTTACGATTTAAAAACATTACAAGTTAATATGCTGCATTAATTGTGATTAATAACTCAAAATAACGACGAGAACATCCTTTTTTTAATCTATCTGATGTAATTGTAGATAAACTTTTCTTTTTTAATTTAAATTTTAATTAGAAATGGTGTTTTAGCGCCATCTATTAAATTATTTTTGAATTACATCGATTTAAAGCAGATTCCTTTTTTATTAATGTCAAATCTAACCTAAAAAGTTACATTTTATATTAGAAGCAATTTCAAGTAAATTTAATCAAAATAGTTTTAAATTCTGCCTAATAGTCGCTTGGAAAAGATTTTTACAAGGTAAATAACACTCCAAATTTATTCTTTTATTATAAACACTCATTAATTGTAGAGCGAAAGTTTTAATTGATTCAGGAGCTCGTAATTAGGGTGATAGACCGCTTTAGTTCGATGTTACGAGGCTTTCCCTCCTAAAAAAGAGCCTTGGTTTGATAAAAAAGTTGCGAGTTAAAAAAGATATTTTATCAGGAAGACGAAATTAGGAGGTTAGGTTATTTACGATTTAAAAACATTACAAGTTAATATGCTGCTTTAATTGTGATTAATAACTCAAAATAACGACGAGAACATCCTTTTTTTAATATATCTGATGTAATTGCTAAAGATAAATTTTTCTTTTTTAATTTAAATTTTAATTAAAAATGGTGTTTTAGTGCCATCTATTAAGTTATTTTTGAATTATATCAATTTAAAGCAGATTACTTTTTTATTAATGTCAAATCTAACCTAAAAAAGTTACATTTTATATTTCAAGTAAATTTGTTCAAATTATAGCTAATAATCGCTTGGAAAAGATTTATACAAGGTAAATAACACTCCAAATTTATTCTTTTATTATAAACACTCATTAATTGTGGAGCGAAAGTTTTAATTGATTCAGGAGCTCGTAATTAGGTTGATAAACTTCTTTAGTTCGATGTTTACGAGGCTTTCCCTCCTAAAAAAGAGCCTTGGTTTGATAAAAAAGTTCCTAAATGCGAGTTAAACAAGATATTTTATCAGGAAGACGAAATTAGGAGATTAGGTTATTTACGATTTAAAAACATTACAAGTTAATATGCTGCATTAATTGTGATTAATAACTCAAAATAACGACGAGAACATCCTTTTTTTAATCTATCTGATGTAATTATAGATAAATTTTTCTTTTTTAATTTAAATTTTAATTAGAAATGGTGTTTTAGCGCCATCTATTAAATTATTTTTGAATTACATCGATTTAAAGCAGATTCCTTTTTTATTAATGTCAAATCTAACCTAAAAAGTTACATTTTATATTAGAAGCAATTTCAAGTAAATTTAATCAAAATATTTTTAAATTATGGCTAATAGTCGTTTGGAAAAGATTGGAACGATTTATACGAGGTAAATAACACTCCAAATTTATTCTTTTATTATAAACACTCATTGGTTGTAGAGCGAAAGGTTTAATTGATTCAGGAGCTCGCAATTGGGTTGATAGACCGCTTTGGTTCGATGTTTACGAAGCTTTCCCTCCTAAAGAAGAGCCCAGGTTTGATAAAAAAGTTCCTAAATGCGAGTTAAAAAAGATATTTTATCAGGAAGATGAAATTAGGAGGTTAGGTTATTTAGCATTTACAGTTGCTCACAAAATTGAGTGTACAGGGGAATGGAAGATAGATAATGGTGAATATTTCAAATAATTATTAATTTATTTTAAAGTCATATTAACAACAATCTTATGAACTAAATTCCACTGTATGAATAACATTGTGGTGGTGTTTTTAGTTGTTTTGAGGTCTATTCCTTCACAAGGTATGATGTATGTTTATGATCATTATCTTGTTAGAACCAGAACATAGTTGGAAGGTTGAGTTATGGAGAGCTTTGACATAAATTACGTTTTAAATAACTAAATTTTGTCATATTTTCCTCAATAAACTCCATGCCACAGCGAATGCAGGCGATNGCAGATTCCTTTTTTATTAATGTCAAATCTAACCTAAAAAAGTTACATTTTATATTTGAAGCAATTTCAAGTAAATTTAATCAAAATAGTTTTAAATTCTGCCTAATAGTCGATTGGAAAAGATTTTTACAAGGTAAATAACACTCCAAATTTATTCTTTTATTATAAACACTCATTAATTGTAGAGCGAAAGTTTTAATTGATTCAGAAGCTCGTAATTAGGTTGATAGACTTCTTTAGTTCGATGTTTACGAGGCTTTCCCTCCTAAAGAAGAGCCATGGTTTGATAAAAAAGTTCCTAAATGCGAGTTAAAAAAGATATTTTATCAGGTAGACGAAATTAGGAGGTTAGGTTATTTACGATTTAAAAACATTACAAGTTAATATGCTGCTTTAATTGTGATTAATAACTCAAAATAACGACGAGAACATCCTTTTTTTAATCTATCTGATGTAATTATAGATAAATTTTTCTTTTTTAATTTAAATTTTAATTAGAAATGGTGTTTTAGCGCCATCTATTAAATTGTTTTTGAATTATATCGATTTGAAGCAGATTCCTTTTTTATTAATGTCAAATCTAACCTAAAAAAGTTACATTTTATATTTGAAGCAATTTCAAGTAAATTTAATCAAAATAATTTTAAATTATGGCTAATAGTCGCTTGGAAAAGATTGGAACGATTTATACGAGGTAAATAACACTCCAAATTTATTCTTTTATTATAAACACTCATTGGTTGTAGAGCGAAAGGTTTAATTGATTCAGGAGCTCGCAATTGGGTTGATAGACCGCTTTGGTTCGATGTTTACGAAGCTTTCCCTCCTAAAGAAGAGCCCAGGTTTGATAAAAAAGTTCCTAAATGCGAGTTAAAAAAGATATTTTATCAGGAAGATGAAATTAGGAGGTTAGGTTATTTAGCATTTACAGTTGCTCACAAAATTGAGTGTACAGGGGAATGGAAGATAGATAATGGTGAATATTTCAAATAATTATTAATTTATTTTAAAGTCATATTAACAACAATCTTATGAACTAAATTCCACTGTATGAATAACATTGTGGTGGTGTTTTTAGTTGTTTTGAGGTCTATTTCTTCACAAGGTATGATGTATGTTTATGATCATTATCTTGTTAGAACCAGAACATAGTTGGAAGGTTGAGTTATGGAGAGCTTTGACATAAATTACGTTTTAAATAACTAAATTTTGTCATATTTTCCTCAATAAACTCCATGCCACAGCGAATGCAGGCGATAATTGACGCCAATGGAGGCGCTACAGCATATTAAAACATAATAATCACTTTTGCTTAAGTGTATACTCAATTTTATGGCATGAATTTCATATCATTTGTTATTATTGTTAATATTGTGATGATTTTATTTGGAAAATTGAATTATTTTGCATTCAATTTAGTTAATAAGATTCTTGTTAATATACAGGGTGTCCCATGTAAGTGGGAAAGTACATAAATGACAGTAATGAGCTGAGGTACACAGTTCTTTAGAGAAAAGTTGTAGGAAATTTACACCATTTTGTTTTTATTACTATCGAATTTGATTAATCTAACATCATTTTCGTAATCTACATTAAATTCCCTTCAAAATGAGCCTAAACTCGGTCGAGTTATCTTAAAAAACAACAAACTTCCGGTTGTCACTTTTTTGAGGTTATGTCAAAATTAAATGTTGGATATCTCGGGTGTTTTTTAAGATAATTGGGTCGTGTTTGGACTCGATTTAAAGGATTTTTAATTCTCCACCCGATTATGAATAAAAAAAGAACCTAACTTCACTTTGTAAACGTCAAATTGATGTTGTTTGATATTTTTCGCAATCTTGATTAATAATTTTAATTAAATAGTAATAAAATTCTTTATTTCTGGGTTTAAAAATACCGGGCGATTTTAATTTTGTTGAAATTGAATCATTTTTTTTTAATCATCTTCCATTTTGTTTTTGTTACCATCGAATTTGATTAATCTAACATCGTATTCGTAATCTACATTAAATTCCCTTTAAAATGAGCCTAAACTCGGTCGAGTTATCTTAAAAAAACAACAAACTTCCGGTTGTCACTTTTTTGAGGTTATGTCAAAATTAAATGTTGGATATCTCGGGTGTTTTTTAAGATAATTGGGTCGTGTTTGGACTCGATTTAAAGGATTTTTAATTCTCCACCCGATTATGAGTAAAAAAAGAAAATATTTTTATGCATACAGGGTGTTCCTTAATAAAGTACCGACATTTTATGCCAGGACATGTCGATTTAAATGGAATGATAGTTTTTATTACGTGTTCTCTTATAACCGATGGGTATAGGGACATGTACTGATGATTTATAAAGAATTTATATTCAATTCCCCCCTGTATATTTAATTTTGTGAGCAACTGTTTATTGTTTTTGCAATAAATTTCTTTTTATAGCCTTTTTCATCAAAATAATAAACAAATTGGGACCGTTACTCTAAATAATTTAAAATATAAAACGATTACGCAACAATTTATCGATAAATTTAAAGAAATTGAAAATCAATATGGAGAGGGTGTTGATAAAAAGAAAATTTACGTGGAAGCTGTCGAAGCGTTAAAAGTTTCGAAAGAAATTAAAGATAAAGATGAGGATGAGTACTTGAGATTAAGCACTGCGTTTAAGGAAGTTAGTGAGAAAAGAGATGTTAAAGTTGATTTTAAAGATTTGTTTCAAAAATGAGTGATTTAAAATTAGTAGAATAAATCAAATCTGTTCGAATTTATTTATTGAATCACTTCATATTATTATAAACACCTTCTAAATTTGATAACGGACATAATTTGCCTTTTCTCCATTTACGATATTCGGAATCATTTTCGGTTAATTCTTCGATAAAAGGGCACGTTTCGTATCTTAATTTTCCTTTTAATAAGTGCCACTTCCTTAATTGTTTCCAACTGTGCTTTTTATTATTAAAATCGTGTTTAGAAATCATTTCATTCAAAGCTAAATTCTCGGTGTATTGTTTCATAAAATGACAAATGTAATTAGTGATTAAATTTAAATAAGAAATGGTTATCTTTAAATTTACTTCATCAATAACATTGAATTTTAATAAAAACTTTTCTATGGCCACATCGAACAATCTAAAATCAGTCGCATTTACGTTCATTTCCATGTGGCCATAAGCGAGTAAATTTAAACATTTCTTAGCCTCTTTCTCATCCGTTTTAAATAGACCCAATAACATTTTATGAAATTTTATGTAACTTATTACGTGAGCCAACATTCGGTCATCTTCGTCGTGTTTAAAAATGTTCTCAGTTTCTTGAGCACTCTTTGCAAATTTTTCCTTAAATCCTTTTCCTAAAAATGATGCGCAAAAATGAATCTTTTTTGCCGAACTCACTAAATCTTTCTCTATAAGTTCGAAAACATTTTCAACCGTATCCACCATCGGTAATGTTAATTCAAGATCAACGTTTGTGCCGGTCGTAAAACCCAAATAAATCGACTGCAAATTTGTGTAATTAAATTCCGATTCGAATTTATTCGGAATTTTGTGATTTAACGATAAAATTGAGGTTGAAGTTGATGGGAGTTGGTTTGGTGATGAAAAGACGATGTTTGAGTTTAGTTTTTTTTCGGTTTGTGGGTAAATTTTGGTCTTTTTGAGACATCCCATCGTAATTCCCATTGCACTAAGTACATTTTTTTTATGAAACTTAATTAAAACTTACATTTTTTATATCAAAATTAATTTTAAAATGACGTTTATGTCAAAGTTGACACAATACGTTTGGTAGACTGTCATTTAATAGAATTTATTTAAAAAAGAAAAAAACAACCCTAATATTATTATTATCGTAATTATCAAGGATTATTTAGGAAAGGTATTCCTTTATTTTTCCTAAAGCCATATTTGATAATTATCAAAAATTGGGTTTTTTTTTTAATAAATTCTATTAAATGACAGTCTGCCAAATGTATTATGTAAAATTTGACATAAACGTCATTAATATAATAATGTGTTAATTTTGATATAAAAAATGTAAGTATAAATATTTAAATAATTTATGTTGTTTTCCTGATTTTTAGTAACATTTAATAACTAAATAGTTGAGGTTATAATACTACATAATATATTTTTATACGATTTTAACCAGGTATTGTAAAAACGTGCTACATAGTAATTAAATTGAACAAAACACCTTTTGTAGGTAAATACAACATTTTTTATGTACTTTTTGAATAACGAAAGCTCAAACGTCAGTGTGACATATTTATTTCAAAACATCATATAACTAAATTCCCTGTTAATTTTGCCAACTTTACAACAATTTGACAGTTATTATAGAAAAAAATTGAAAAGATTATGCAGGGTAGAAATACTCCTTCAGTTCTTTCAGCGATTATTCATCAACTCTACTCCGAGAAGATACTTAAGTTTAAAAATAACAGAAAAAATGTTGGCAACAGAACAAGCTACAGGGGACTCCCACAAGAAAGTTCCTTAAATTCTCTTAGTCAAGAACTGATTGAACTTGATGTAATTGCGATAAGCTATACCAATGATGTAGTATTATATCGTACTTCTGCTAACATTGAAAATGACAACTTAAAATATCACTAGGCAAAACAGAAGCAGTTCTCTTCACTAGAAAAAGAAATATACATAGTCCAAGGTAGCCCTGTGAGGGTATGTGGAGAGCTTTAAGTACTTGGGATTTCATATCATCGGGAAACTAAGTTGGAAAGAACAAGTCAATACAATAATTCTAATATAGCCTACCACACAACAGACCTGTAAAGGAGGTATTAACTTAATTAAATCCTTGGAAAACTCGAAATAGAGGGGTGATCCTATAATATTAAGTACTCTATATAGAGCAATAGTCAGATACAGAATTGAATATGGTTTCTGGATTTTAATGCCTATTCCTAAAATTATTATGAATAAACTTCAGGTGACGTGCTATGAAGCCTATATTTATTATCTTCTGCAATAAATGCGTTAACGATTGAAGCGATTGGTGGTGGGGGCGGATCAATATAGGGAAACAAGAAAGAAGTATAAAGAAACATGCAGGAGGAAGAAGAAGGAGATGAGGGATAGGAAGGCAGACGAAATTAGGTTGGTGAGACGAGAGGGAGATATATAAATAAGATAAGGAAGAGAGGAGAGGAAGTTACCAGTGAGATACTCATGACGAAGTGGAGGGAGTGCTTTATGGTAGAACAGTAGAGAAGATGGAGTCCAGAACGAGGCATGAATGAAGGCAACGGTGGAGGCGAAGGAGAGGTTGTGAATGGGGTTGAGCAAGGTATGGCAAGATGGAGGAAGGCGATAATAAGTCCATTATACAAAAAGGGAAGTAAAGAGACAGTGGAGAGTTATATCAGTTTACTGAATACGAAGTACAAGATATTTGCGAAGGTACTGATTGGGAGGCTAGAGAAAGAGATAGAGGACAAGGGAGCTTCTGCCAGATGGTCAGGCAGGATTTAGAAAGGAAAGGGGGGCGATAGACAACATGTATATATTGAAACACCTGGTGGATAGAGCCGTCTTTGCTGTGTATACTGCAGACATAGAAGGCAGATGAGGGTACACGTACTGGGAAGAAATGAAAGTAGATAAGGTTAGAAAGTGATAAGATACAGGCAAGTAAGTGGCGTTATTCAACGGAAGAAGTGAACAGGAAAAGAAAAGTGGGGATTGAGGTGTGGAAACAACAAAGTGATGTGGGTTGTGGTAATGCAAGAGAGAAGGACGGCGATAAGAGAAAGCAGCATACAATCCAAAATATAATTAAATTGTAGTAAAGGGGCCACCAAAGTACCTAATGACGGAGGGGAAAAGGTTGATAGCCAGCTTTAGGTGTGGGAATGAAGAAAGGGCCAACAGATATTGGATGGAAGATAAGGAGCAGGCTAAGTGAGGACGTCTGAGAGTCTATACACCATCTGCTGGTGGAGTGTAGTGAGTTGAGGAAGGAGGTGATGGATTGGTGACAGGTGTTTGGGGAGAGAGTGGAAAAAAGGAGATGGATGGTGGAGGTTTAATATTGTAATCTTCTGGAAACAATAATTTATTATTAATAAAAACAAATTACTACACCTAATACAATATTGAAGAGAAAACCAACAAGCACTGTGAATTCACATCACAAGACACATTTCGGTTACAAATTTAGAATTCAAACAAATGGAAAAAAAGTCTAAAACAAGTGGAAGAAGAAGCCTTTTTTGCCTTTCAAAACTGAAAGGAGAATCAGAAAAAAATCCTGACTGTCAATATTTCATAAGTTTATTTCAGCTTCAGCTTGAAGTTATGTTTCGGTCAAATTACTTAGGATTATGGAATTTACTGAAACTTCATTGGTTTGATCTTCGAAAGCTCGTAGTCATTTTTTAACATTGCCAAAGCTACGTTTAGGCTTTGTCATCGATGATACTTCTATTCTCTGCGTAAATTATCACTCCACCTTTTTCTTGGTCATCCTTGTCTTCGTTAGCGTCGATTTATCCTGGTCTTTTTTACTATTCCATCTTGTCCCATTCTTTCTATTTGTGCATTCCATTTTTTTCCCTGCTATGTATCCAATTGTGATAGATAGCCGTTGTAAACCGGCTACAGATACCCACCCTTCCTACATCATTCCACAACTGCCTTGAGTTATTATTACCAGTAACAACACATCAAGCAAAAAAAATCTATATCAATAAATGCCAACGCACAGTATGTTTTTCAAACAGGCTCTATCAAAGGAGATTTCCACGTAACATCACTGTATACATCATGTTGTGATCACTAAAACCACATTCAACAACATCATTGTTTACCACAAATTTGTAGTTATTTCAGATCTATTAGTGTGGATGAAATTCTCGTAATTCTAGTAAGTTTATTAATAAGCTACTGATTCACGGAGACTCATGTGAAAAACAGTAGATGGATCGTCATTTTTCAAAAGATTAATATTAAAGTCTCCAAGGCAAAAAATATTTACAGATTTAGATAAACACTTACTAAATGAGTTTTCCACATCAGTATAGCTTTAAGTCTATTATATTTGGCATATGAGAAAGATATTGATATCACACTAGTATGGGTACTGGGCCAGGTGGGAGTGAGTGAAAATGATAAAGCTAATTGGCGAACAGAGGATACCAGAAGGAGGTTCATAGAGTAAAAATCTATGGAAAAGAATTATATCGGCAAGATATTGATGACATAAACCATCATTTAAAGGGATTAGGTACACTATGTGTCACCAGTTCTACACTTTCATTACTAGACTGAGAATAGGACTTGTCCAATAAGAATTGGAATTAAAGATACTTCATAATGCGAATCTGACCAAGAGGGGCATATCTTTTTCGCGTGTCCATGATACTCTGATCAACGACAGAAACTATTTGCAGATCTATTTAAGAAACATATATATTTACCAATTAACTTTGTATCATTGCTAGCTACCAGCTCATTTGAGATATATTTGATGTTATTTGAATATCTTACATCTGCAGGCATTCTATTGAGATGACTTTATTCTCAATTCGATTTATTTAACAATTTGTACATAATAACTGATAATTGTTTAAAATTTCCTTTTTCATTGAAAACGAACATAACCTCAACATTTTAGTTACTGTCATTATCGCAAACATAACCTCAAATTTATTTTTTAACATTACTATTTTATCTAAATAACAATTTCAAAAATCAACTAAATCAAAACTGCGAAATCTCCATACAAGCCATTTTAGTCTTTTTAACATCAAAATTATTAATAATTTAAAATTATAATTAATTTAAAAATGACGTTTACTCGAAATTTGACGTTTGGTGTTTAATAGATTTGATTTTGGTAGAAATTTTTATTAAAAAATAATTAATAAAAAGAATTTGCTAAATATATTAATTAATTACAATTTGTTTATATTTAGTTAAATATTTATTTCTTAATTTATTAATTATTAACTATAAATAAATGTTATAATACATTTATTAGACTACTATTTAATAGAATTAAAAAAAAAAACAATTCATTTTTGTCTAAATAACAACAATTTCAAAGATCAACTAAATCAAAATTGCGAAATCTCCATATAAGCCGTTTTAGTCTTTTTAACACCAAAATTAATAATAATTTAAAATTATAATTAATTTACTCAAAACTTGACATTTGGCGTTTAATAGATTTGATTTTGGTAGAAACTTTTATTAAAAAATAATTAATAAAAAGAATTTGCTAAATATATTAAATAATTGCAATTTGTTTATATTTAGTTAAACATTTATTTCTTAATTTATTAATTATTAACTATAAATAAATGTTAGAATACACATTTGGTAGACTACCATTTAATAGAATTAAAAAAAAAACAATTCATTTTTTGTGTAATTAACAACAATTTCAAAAATCAACTTAATCAAAATTGCGAGATCTCCATACAAGCCGTTTTAGTCTTTTTAACACCAAAATTAATAATAATTTAAAATTATAATTAATTTAAAAATGACGTTTACTCGAAATTTGACGTTTAATAGATTTGATTTTGGTAGAAACTTTTATTAAAAAATAATTAATAAAAAGAATTTGCTAAATATATTAAATAATTACAATTTGTTTATATTTAGTTAAATATTTATTTCTTAATTTATTAATTATTAACTATAAATAAATGTTAGAATACATTTGGTAGACCACCATTTAATAGAATTAAAAAAAACCAATTCATTTTTTGTGTAATTAACAACAATTTCAAAAATCAACTAAATCAAAATTGCGAAATCTCCATATAAGCCGTTTTAGTCTTTTTAACACCAAAATTAATAATAATTTAAAATTATAATTAATTTACTCGTAACTTGACATTTGGCGTTTAATAGATTTAGTTTTGGTTGAAACTTTTATTAAACAATAATTAATAAAAAAGAATTTGTTAAATGTTAATATAATATTAAATAATTAATATTTATTTAAAACAAATTTATTTCTTTATTAATTAACTACAATTAAATGTTAGTATCCATTTGGTAGACTGACGTTTAATAGAATTCCTTCTTAAAAAAAAAAACATAACCTCTATTTTATTATTATCACTTGAACTTTCAACCTTACAATCGTTTAATCATTCTCAATTCGATTTATTGATGTGAAAAACTCGAGAGGCCGGTCGAAAATGAGCTTCGACGATGTGGTTTATTTATCGTTATTGTTTTCGTCGATCGGTTTTGGTTACATTTATCGAAAAATTGAGGATGTGCAAAAGAAAAAGTTAATTGGAACGTTTATCGGGTTAATAGTCGTTATTCTAGTCTCAGGGGTACATATAATCCATTCATTCGTTACGTATTTCATAAATACGATTATTATTTTATTTGCAAGCAAAAGGTGAGTCAAAAAATGTCAAAGTGGATTTTTAAATAATTTTTTTTTAAACATTTTTTTAGGCAATGTCACCTAATCAGCTTTATATTTTCGTTTTTATACCTCTTTTTCTTCCGTACCACGGAATATTTCGGTATTCCATATCCTCCGGGTCATACGAATTTAGTACAAATGATGTTAACCTTAAAATTAGTCGGGTTAGCTTTTGAGGTGAATACTTCGTACCAATTAAATAAGAAGAAAGATGCTTCCAATAAGAGTACTGAGGAGAAATGCGAGGATGAATTAAATATGATTAATCCAGATTTTATTGAAATTTTTCATTATTGTTTTAATTATATTGGAGTTTTAACAGGTTGGTTTTTTATTAATCAATAATTACCCACTACTTTTATTCATATTTTAGGTCCTTATTATAGATATCGCACCTTCAGAGATTACTTTAATTATCCTTTTGGTAAATATGTTCCATGGAAAGAAGAGACATTAAAAAAAATCCAATGGGTGCCACTTTATGCAATCCTCTTCCTCTTAGTCTCTCATTTATGGCCATTGGAGGTAAATTTAATCAATTTTATTTAGTTTTAAATTCATTGAGGATTTAATTTAAGATCATTATGTCGCTTAAAAATCGACAAAAAAGTGTAAAACTTAACGAAAAATCACTTTAAAGTTTCGCTTTTTTGTGACGTCATCATATTTTTGTAGCGCATTTGGTTAAGACGCATATTTTTGGGTGAAATACGGTCGTATCTTTAACTGTTTGGTTCCTAAATGCTAGATATTGTTGGGAAAAGACTAATTATTGCTATCAGAAGATTAAGTACAGCTAGTAAAAGATTAAAAACTGCTTGGAAAGAGGAAATACTGTTTCAAAAAGTTACCTACTGTTTCTAAAATGTTATATATTGTAGAAAAGACCACAACTTAGACAAGATACTGCTTTCAGAGCGCTATATACTACTAGAAAAGATTAGGACTTGCTTGGAGAAGACTAAATATTGCTGGGAGAAACTATTATCTGCTTGGAAAGGCAAGATACTGTTTCCAAAAGACTATTAACTACTTTCAGAATGCTAAATATTGTTGGCAAAGACTATTTAATGCTTTCAGAAGACTATGTACTGCTGCCAAAACACTACTAAGTGCTTGAAGATTACAATACTACTGGCTGAAGACTATTTGTTGAAATTATTCTTCTGTTGGGTGATATCTTTCCGTTTCCCTTCCATTATAGATTTAAAAATTGCTGCTACAACACTTGATTCTTTGTCACCCAGATACAACATGAAAATTTCTAGTCTGTTGGTAGCAGTATCTAGCTTTTTATAGACAATATCTTTTTAAGCAGTTTAGTATTAGTCTTTCGCAAGGAGTTTTTAGTCTTCTGGCGGCAGTATTTAGTCTTCTACAAGCAGTATTAGCATTCTGCAATCAATGTGTAGTCTGTTGGTAGCAGTACTTAGCCATTTATAGACAGTACCTATCTTTTTAAGCAGTTTGTAGTATTGTGTAGGTAGTATTAGTCTTTCGCAAGGAGTTTTTAGTTTTCTGTCGGCAGTATTTAGTCTTCTACAAGCTCTATTAGTATTCTGCAATCAATGTGTAGTCTATTGGTAGCAATGACTAACCTTCTATAGACAATATCTATCTTCTGCAAGCACTTTTTAGTATTGTATAGGTAGTATTTGCCTTTCGCAAGGAGTTTTTAGTCTTCTACAGACAATATTAGTATTCTGCAACCAATTTCTAGTCTGTTGGTAGCAGTACCTAGCCTGTTATAGACTATATCTATCTTTTAAAGCATTTTTTAGTATTGTATAGGTAGTATTTGTCTTCTGTAACGAGTTTTTGTCTTCTGTCGGTAGTATTTAGTCTTCTACAAGCAATATTAGTATTCTGCAACCAATTTATAGTCTGTTGGTAGCAGTTCCTAGCCTTTTATAGACAATATCTATCTTTTAAAGCAGTTTCTAGTATTGTATAGGTAGTATTAGCCTTTCGCCAGGAGTTTTTAGTCTTCTATCGGCAGTATTTAGTCTTCTACAAGCAGTATTAGTATTCTGCAATCAATATGTAGTTTATTGGTAGCAATGACTAACCTTCTATAGACAATATCTATCTTCTGCAAGCATTTTTTAGTATTGCATAGGTAGAATTTGTCTTCTGTAACGAGTTTTTGTCTTCTGTCGGCAGTATTTAGTCTTCTACAAGCAGTATTAGTATTCTGCAATCAATGTGTAGTCTATTGGTATCAATGACTAACTTTCTATAGACAATATCTATCATCTGCAATCATTTTTTAGTATTGTATAAGTAGTATTTGTATTCTGTAACGAGTTTTTAGTCTTCTGTCGGCAGTATTTAGTCTTCTACAAGCAATATTAGTATTCTGCAAACAATTTCTAGTCTGTTGGTAGCAATACCTAGCCTTTTATAGACAGTATCTATCTTTTTAAGCAGTTTCTAGTATTATATTTATCTTCTATCAGCAGTATTTAGTCTTCTACAAGCAATATTAGCATTCTGCAATCAATGTGTAGTCTATTGGTAGCAATGACTAACCTTCTATAGACAATATCTATTTTCTGCAAGCATTTTTTAGTATTGTATAGGTAGTATTTGTCTTTTGTAACGAGTTTTTAGTGTTCTGTCGGCAGTATTTAATCTTCTACAACCAATATTAGTATTCTGCAACCAATTTCTAGTCTGTTGGCAGCAGTACCTAGACGTTTATAGACAGTATCTATCTTTTTAAGCAGTTTCTAGTATTGTATAAGTAGTATTAGTCTTTCGCAAGAAGTTTTTAGTCTTCTGGCTGTAGTATTTAGTTTTCTACAAGCAGTATTAGTATTCTGCAATCAATGTGTAGTCTATTGGTAGCAATAATTAACCTTCTATAGAGAATATCTATCATCTGCAACCATTTTTTAGTATTGTATAAATAGTATTTGTATTCTGTAACGAGTTTTTAGTCTTCTGTCGGCAGTATTTAGTCTTCTACAAGCAGTATTAGTATTCTGCAATCAATGTGTAGTCTATTGGTAGCAATGACTAACCTTTTATGGACAATATCTATCTTCTACAAAAAATTTTTATATTATATAGGTAGTATTTGTTTTCCGCAGCTAGATATTGTAGGCAAAGACTATTTAATGCTTTCAGAAGACTATATACTGCTGCCAAAACACTACTAAGTACTTAGACTAACTATAACTAAACTATTCTTGTGTTGAGTGATATAGGTCTAATGTTAGTTCTAATGGCAGTGGTAGGTAGCACTAGTTAGTATAAGATATCACTGTGCTGCGTATTTTTATTGAATTAAAATCAAAACTAACAATTTATAGACCTAGAAATATTCAGGTTTAGCCGTGCGCCTAAAAATAATTTTGGTGTTTTTTGAAAGTGTTTCGACGCACGGCTAAGAAAAAAACTTTCAGGTGTTATTTAATTTTATTATTATACAGGGTAATTCAAATTCGACCCTCACCATTGGGATCTCAGAAACCATAAGAGATACAGAAATGGTTAAATGGGGGTAAAGTTGCGTATCTTAGAGCTCATCATTTTTCAACTAAGTTTTTGGATCTAGCTGATTAAGTTTTTAAAATATGGCCGAAAAACAAAAAAAATTACTTTTTCGTTTTTTGCCTATAGCTTCTTTATTTTTCGTTTTTTCGTGAATCTGAAAAAACATTCTTAAGACAACTTTTTATGAAAAATGTCATGACACAACTATGAAAGTTGAACTTTGTCCCCATTTAACCATTTCTGTATCTCTTAACTCTACTGCTATTGCTTTCAAAGACTTTAATAATTGTTTGGAAAAGAGATACTGCTGAAAAAGACTAATAACTGCTTGGAAAGAAGAGATATGATCTCTAAAAAAGATACTCACTGCTTCCAAAATGCTAAATACTGGTGGATAAGATTACAATCTGCTTGGAGAAGACAAGATACTGCTTTCATAAGACTACTTACTGCTTTCAGAGCGCTATACAGGGTGATTCTCAACCTATACGCATAAACTTGGGGATTCATTCCTCATGACAAATAATGACTAATTGGTGAAAAAAATTTCGCATTTGGGCTCATTTTAAAGGATTTTTCACCCGTAACGTTTCCTTTTTTATTATTAGGACTATACTAACATTAGACCTAGAACTAGAAAGTTTCGGTTAGAAAACAAAATGGCCGCCTATCATTATTGACATTTCAACGTAGCTTTTTAATTTTTTCACCAAAACTAACATTCTTGGGTATCAATTCAAATAAATCCGACCTCCTCAATCCAAATTTAGTACTAAAAATTGTTGTAATCTTCAAGCACTTAATAATGTTTTGGCATTAGTAGTCTTTCCAACAATATTTAACATTATAAAAGTAGTTAATAGTCTTTTGGAGACAGTATCTTGTCGTTCCAAGCAGATAATAGTTTCTCCCAGCAATATTTAGTCTTCTCTAAGCAGGTCCTAATCTTTTCTAGTAGTATATAGCCCTCTGAAAGTAGTAAGTAGTATTATGGAAGCAGTATCTCGTCTTTCCAATTAGTTTATAGTTATTTGTTAGCACTATCTAGTCTTCTCCAAGCGGATTGTAATCTTTTCCACTAATATCTAGCATTTTAGAAGCAGTAGGTAACTTTTTGAAACAGTATCTCCTCTTTCCAAGCAGTTTTTAGTATTTTTCTAGCGGTATTTAATCTTCTGATAGCAATAATTAGACTTTTGTCAACAGTATCTAGCTTTAGTATTTAGTCTTTACACAGTATTCAGTGTTCCAGACGCTGTATTTAGACCTGTCGGCAGTATTTAGTCTTCTAGAAGCAGTATCTAGTCTTCAAGAAGCAGTATCTAGTCTTCTGCCAAGGTTATGTATGTCTTCTCCAAAATATTTTATCTTTCATTTGCAGTATTTAGACCTGTTAGCAGTATCTAGTCTTCAGAAAGCAGTATTTAGTCTCCACAAAGCAATTTTTAGTCTTTAGAAAGCAGTATTTAGTGTTCCAGACGCTGTATTTAGACCTGTCGGCAGTATTTAGTCTTCTAGAAGCAGTATCTAGTCTTCAAGAAGCAGTATCTAGTCTTCTGCCAAGGTTATGTATGTTTTCTCCAAAATATTTTATCTTTCATTTGCAGTATTTAGACCTGTTAGCAGTATCTAGTCTTCAGAAAGCAGTATTTAGTCTCCACAAAGCAATTTTAGTCTTTAGAAAGCAGTATTTAGTGTTCCAGACGCTGTATTTAGACCTGTCGGCAGTATCTAGTCTTCAGAAAGCAGTATTTAGTCTTCTAGAAGCAGTATCTAGTCTTCTGCCAACGTTATGTATGTTTTCTCCAACAATATCTTATCTTTCTTTTGCAGTACTTAAACCTGTCAGCAGTATCTAGTCTTCAGAAAGCAGTATTTAGTCTCCACAAAGCAATTTTTAGTCTTTAGAAAGTAGTATTTAGTGTTCCAGGTGCTGTATTTAGACCTGTCTGCAGTATCTAGTCTTCAGAAAGCAATATTTAGTTTTTTAGAAGCAAAAATCATGTTTGGTTTATAATTTTGTTTTCTCTGAACAGTAATTTCAGACTTCATGTGGACTTTGAACAATGTAATTCCTGTTTTTTACTGAAGTCTACTTTATAACTATTGCAATTTCAGACTTTTTCTTGCAAATTAACCTTCTGACCAGAGTATTCCCTTAAGTTTGGTTTTTCACCAGTATAATTCTTAAATTTTTGCTGAAGTATGGATTATGATTATTCCAGTCTTTTTTAAGGTCACTTTTCTGCACTTTTTATTTTTAACGTTTTTTTTGGGGTCATTTTTTTTGTACTTTTGCGTCGATTTTTATTCCACATGATGATTCTTTTTAATTTTTTCCTCGATTGATTTTTAGTACACATTAACGCAAGAATTCGATACGGAGCGTTCGTTTTTGTACCGTTTTTGGTATATTTGGCCAAATTTTTTCACCTTTCGAATGCGAATTTACATTGGGTTAGTACTTTCCGAGTGTGTTTGTACCATGGCAGGATTAGGGGGATACCCGGTGTTTACAGAACCAAAAGCCGGATTAGGACCCTCGAAAAATTTCCAAAAATTGAAAGAAATCGATAATTTAGTCGACGAAAAATTCGATTTTGAAACAATACACAATATAAAACCCTACGAAACGGAAGTTTGCACCACGTTTCGTGAAGGGATGAAAAATTGGAACGTTTGCATTCAATATTGGTTGGCGGTCAACGTTTATAAACGATTTCCAAGCAAAAAATATCGCACTTTTGTTACTTTATTGGTTTCGGCCGCTTGGCACGGAGTTTATTTGGGCTACCACATTTGTATTGGTTGCGCCCCTTTTTATTTGTTGATCGAAGATGTTTGGGTTAAAATCGTTTTAAACGGAAATAAAGGAACTGTAAGAAAATAAGAATCTTTATAATCGTTATAAACAAATAATTATTAATCTTTTTGTAGTCGCTAAAGGTGTGGAGTTGTATCGTGTGGTTCTTTAAAATGGCGGGATTCTCGTATTTGGGGATAGCGTTTAGTTTATTATCGGCGGCTAAAATAATCCATTATTATAATTCGATTTATCACGCAGGAGCTGTTATTGGGCTTATAATGTATATAGGTGGAGTGCAATTATTAAAGAGGAAGAGAAGGGATGAGAAGGTTAAAAATGTTGGTGTTAACATTGAATCTAAGAAAGAACATTGAATGTTGTCCTATTAATTTTAGAAAAATATCGTATTTTATCCAATGAGAAATAAAGACTCATTTACAAGGTAAGTGTCGGAACTGTTCCTTAGAATATGGACGCTGTATATTCGTATAACTAAATCAGCTACCGAATTGTGGTAAATGTAAGGTGATATTCTTAATAAGAATCAAAAATGCTTTAATTTGATACCAAACACGATATGTTTGGGTTAAAAAATAGAAAAGTTTGGTTGGAAACTGTCAAATGTCAAAATTAAATATGGCGATTTTTTGATAAATATTGAAATGATCTTGATAAGAATCAAAAATGCTTTAATTTGATACCAAACATGATATGGTTGGGTTAAAAAATAAAAAAGTTTGGTTGGAAACTGTCAAATGTCAAAATTAAATAACGATTTTTTTAAAATATTGAAATATTCTTAATAAGAATCAAAAATGCTTTAATTTGATACCAAGCACGATATGTTTGGGTTAAAAAATAAAATAGTTAGGTTGGAAACTGTCAAATGTCGAAATTAAATATAACGATTTGTTGATAAATTTTGAAATTACCTTAATACGGATCAAAAATGCTTTAATTTGATACCAAACACGATATGTTTGGGTTAAAAAATAGAACAGTTAGGTTGGAAACTGTCAAATGTCAAAATTAAATATAACGATTTTTTGATAAATTTTGAAATTACCTTAATACGGATCAAAAATGCTTTCTTTTGATACCAAACATGATATATTTGGGTTAAATAATAAAAAAGTTAGGTTAACTGTCAAATGTCAAATAATCGCCATTTTTTTTTTTTTTTTAATTAGGATATCTCGATAACGGTTGAAGATAAATAAGTCGAGTTTGGGTTCATTTTAAAAGATTTTTAATTTTCTATCGATTAATGTTAAAAAAAGAACAGGTTTATAACTTAAACATTTTTCTGAATGGATCCACTGTACGGACAGCCTTAAGTGGATAACATTTTTTAACTTACTTTATCATCTTATTTAATCGTATAAGAAATCTTATTAAGAATGAAAAGTGCTTTAATTTGATACCAAACATGATATATTTGGGTTAAAAAATAAAAAAGTTAGGTTATAAACTGTCAAATGTCAAAATTAAATATAACGATTTTTTATAAATATTGAAATGATCTTAATAAGAATCAACAATGCTTTCATTTGATACCAAACACGATATATTTGGGTTAAAAAATAAAAAAGTTAGGTTAGAAACTGTCAAATGTCAAAATTAAGTAGAACGATTTTTTGATAAACATTGAAATAATGTTAATAAGGATCAAAAATGCTTTCATTTCATACCAAACATGATATGTTTCGCATAAAAAATAGAAAAGTTAGGTTGGAAACTGTCAAATGTCAAAATTAAACATGACGGTTGTTTGATAAATATGAAAATGATCTTAATAAGAATCAAAAAATGCTTTAATCTGATACCAAACACTATATATTTTGATTAAAAAATAAAAAAGTTAGGTTAAAAACTGTCAAATGTCAAAATTAAATATAACGATTTTTTGATAAATTTTGAAATTACCTTAATACGGATCAAAAATGCTTTCTTTTGATACCAAACACGATATGTTTGGGTTAAAAAATAGAACAGTTAGGTTGGAAACTGTCAAATATCAAAATTAAATATAACGATTTTTTGATAAATATGAAAATGATCTTAATAGGGAGCAAAAATGCTTTCTTTTGATACCAAACATGATATATTTGGGTTAAAAAATAAAAAAGTTAGGTTATAAACTGTCAAATGTCAAAATCAAATATAACTATTTTTTATAAATATTGAAATGATCTTAATAAGAATCAACAATGCTTTCATTTGATACCAAACATGATATGTTTCGCTTAAAAAATAGAAAAGTTAGGTTGGAAACTGTCAAATGTCAAAATTAAACATACGGTTTTTTGATAAATATGAAAATGATCTTAATAAGAATCAAAAAATTCTTTAATTTGATACCAAACACTATATGTTTTGATTAAAAAGAAAAAAAGGTAGTTTAGAAACTGTCAAATGTCAAAATTAAATATAACAATTTTTTGATAAATTTTGAAATTACCTTAATACGGAACAAAAATGCTTTTATTTGATACCAAACATGATATATTTGGGTTAAATAATAAAAAAGTTAGGTTAACTGTCAAATGTCAAATAATCGCCATATTGCTTTTGCTAAAAATTAAGATATCTCAATAACGGTTGAAGATAAATAAGTCAAGTTTGGGTTCATTTTAAAGGATTTTTAATTTTCTATCCATTAATGTTGAAAAAAGAACAGCTTTATATCTTAAAATATTTTCTGAATTGACTTATGTGGATAGCATTTTGTGACATACTTTATCGCCTCATTTATTCGTATAAGAAATGATCTTAATAAGAATCAAAAATGCTTTCATTTGTTACCAAACATAATATGTTTGGATTAAAAAATAGAAAAGTTAGGTTAGAAACCGTCAAATGTCAAAATTAAATAACGTTTTTTTAAAACATTGAAATATTATTAATAAGGATCAAAAATGCTTTCATTTGATACCAAACATGATATATTTGGGTTAAAAAATAAAAAAGTTAGGTTAGAAACTGTCAAATGTCAAAATTAAATATAACGATTTTTTGATAAATATTGAAATGATCTTAATAAGAATCAAAAATGCTTTCATTTGATACCAAACATGATATATTTGGGTTAAAAAATAAAAAAGTTAGGTTAGAAACTGTCAAATGTCAAAATTAAATATAACGATTTTTTGATAAATTTTGAAATTACCTTAATACGGATCAAAAATGCTTTGATTTGATACCAAACACGATATGTTTGGGTTAAAAAATAGAACAGTTAGGTTGAAAACTGTCAAATGTCAAAATTAAATATAACGATTTTTTGATAAGTATGAAAATGATCTTAATAGGGATTAAAAATGCTTTCTTTTGATACCAAACATGATATATTTGGGTTAAATAATAAAAAAGTTAGGTTAACTGTCAAATGTCAAATAATCGCCATTTTTTTTGTTAAAAATTAAGATATCTCGATAACGGTTGAAGATAAATAAGTCGAGTTTGGGTTCATTTTAAAGGATTTTTAATTTTCTATCGATTAATGTTAAAAAAAGAACAGGTTTATAACCTAAACATTTTTCTGAATTGATCCACTGTACTGACAGCCTTAAGTGGATAACATTTTTTAACTTACTTTATCGTCTTATTTAATCGTATAAGAAATCTTAATAAGAATGAAAACTGTTTTAATTTGATACCATACATGATATATTTGAGTTAAAAAATAAAAAAGTTAGGTTATAAAATGTCAAATGTCAAAATTAAATAACAATTTTTTGATAAGTATTAAAAAAATCTTAATAATGATCAAAAATGCTTTAATTTGATACCAAACACGATATCTTTGGCTTAAAAAATAAGAAAGTTAGGTTGGAAACTGTCAAATGTCAAAATTAAATATAACGATTTTTTGATAAATATGAAAATGATCTTAATAAGAATAAAAAAATTCTTTAATTTGATACCAAACATGATATATTTGGGTTAAATAATAAAAAAGTTAGGTTAACTGTCAAATGTCAAATAATCGCCATATTGCTTTTGCTAAAAGTTAAGATATCTCAATAACGGTTGAAGATAAATAAGTCAAGTTTGGGTTCATTTTAAAGGATTTTTAATTTTCTATCCATTAATGTTGAAAAAAGAACAGCTTTATATCTTAAAATATTTTCTGAATTGACTTATGTGTATAGCATTTTTTAACATACTTTATCGCCTCATTTATTCGTATAAGAAATGATCTTAATAAGAATCAAAAATGCTTTCATTTGTTACCAAACATGATATATTTGGGTTAAAAAATAGAAAAGTTAGGTTAGAAACTGTCAAATGTCAAAATTAAATAATGATTTTTTTTTAAACATTGAAATATTATTAATAAGGATTAAAAATGCTTTCATTTGATACCAAACATGATATATTTGGGTTAAATAATAAAAAAAGTTTGGTTTGAAACTGTCAAATGTCAAAATTAAATATAACGATTTTTTGATAAATATTGCAATGATCTTGATAAGAATCAAAAATGCTTTCATTTGATACCAAACATGATATATTTGGGTTAAATAATTAAAAAGTTAGGTTAACTGTCAAATGTCAAATAATCGCCATTTTGTTTTTGCTAAAAATTAAGATATTTCGATAACGATTGAAGATTAATAAGTCGAGTTTGGGTTCATTTTAAAGGATTTTTAATTTTCTATCGATTAATGTTAAAAAAGAACTTTTTAACTAATCTATAATACAGGTTTTGTTGCAAAGCAAAATTAGAAATGAATTTTCGTACCAAATTACAACGAAATCGATGAGGGATAATTCCGATACTTCCCTTGTTAATGAACGAATCATCAAAAAAAAATTGTTTATATTTATTAGAATTAGCAACAACCACTTGTAAGTTAATAAAGTAATATAATAATTAAGTATTACTTTATAAACAGAAAATAATTTTAATTTCCGGCGACATCTGTTATTCAACAGCAGAATTAATTGGGGAGTTGCAAAAGAGCGCTTTCGATTTTACAGGATTAGTTCTGCTATTGAATGATAGATGTCGCTAGGATATTATTTTTGATTAAGTCCAACGTCACAGTTTTAAATTTCCATCCAAATTTAATTTTCCTTTTTAGGAATTTTTCAACAAATAACACAATAAGGTTTAATTAATAATAATTTATTTCAACTCTACGTATAAACAAAACTAAATCAATTAACTTCCTTCATCTTCGTAATTTGAATAACGGTCTTTCCCGTCACTTGAACCAAGTTATAAATTTTCTTGTAACGCTCGCCTCGATGATGTCTAGAATATTATTATTTAAGCGAAACGAGAATTGACATTTGATTGCTTTTGGTTTATTTTTATTAATAATTTTTTTTTGTTTTTAAATTAGTGTTTTTTGGGACGGTTTGGGATATGTAACTATAATTAGCTCTAAATTAAGTCTAAATTAACACAAATTAAATCTATTTTAATCTACGAATTAATTAAAAAAGCTAATTAATTAATTAATTATCGATTAGGTGAAAAGTTTCTGCCTTTTAGGTTTAATTAATTAATACACAGGGTGTTATTAATTTTTATTGCTCAAGAAAAATATTTTGATTCGATTTAAAACAGCCTGCATATTGTACATCTTGATTTATTTAATTAATTTAAGTGCAAATTACGTATTTTGCTATTTCTGTGTTAATTTAAACATTGAAGTATTGAAAATAGTCTTTTTTTTGGTCCATAAGACTTTTGGCTATTTTTTTTTGATTTTGTTTAATTCACTACCGAGATTCTACGATTTCTAGCGAAACTGAGTCGGGTTCCTCTTCGATTATATCCTCCAAAATCCTCGCAAAAGAAACCGCCTTACTAAGAAGGAGAAAAAATCTAATCTAAATCAACTCCATCTAAAATAAGCATTCAAAAACTACTACTTACTTACTCTTATTTGTCTAATTTTTTAACTTTACTAATTATCCAAAGGATTAAAATATTCATGACTAACACAAATCAAAAAATAAATAATTAATTCACTTAAAAATTCGAATAAATCACCTTTTATTTATTATCATTTTATCCGGGACGCATCTCACGTTCTCCAACAACTCCAAAACATCACCAGGCATCGTAAAGCTCGTATTTGCGCCTCTCAACTCCCTCAATTCGACCCCCCGAAATAAATCGCAACGTAAAATCTCTTCAACGCTTAAATTGCGTTTAAAAATAAGTTGTAAAACTTCAGCGATTTTGGGAAAACTTGCAAGTTCGACGTCGAAGTGGTGATGTGACGAAATTTCGTAACCAACGGTCATTTCGTACAAAATCCGCCCGAAAGCGACGTTTTCAGCCCCATTTTTAGGGGGTAACCCAAAAAGGGGATTTTCTAAAGCCGCCAAACGCGCAACGCCGTTTTGTATGATGATATTTGACGAAGTTAGGTGGTGGAATGGGGGAAAGTGGCGATTTTTTAAAAATAAAAGGGCCTCTAAAATTTGCCTCCCAAGACATTGGATCTAAAAATAAAAATAAATTAATTTAATATCAATTAATGAATTGATTTAGAATTAACTTGTCTTAAAGGAAGTCCTTCCCCGCGACTATGATACTTATAATGATACTCTTCTTGCCACGCGGAGTTATAAATGATATCCCTTAAGCTACCGGATGGATTTAAAGGGCTGACGAGAGCAACGCCTTTATCCCAAAACTCCACGTCTAAAACGGGGTGGATGTAAGGATGTTGTAAGCTTCGAAATAACGATAAGACGGTTTCTTTCGTCAGAACGGACGGCTCTATTGGACACGTTGGTGGTAAAGTTACCAATGTTAATAAACGCGGAGCGTCTAATTTTTTATCTTGCACGATGAACCTAAAATTATTAAAATTAAATCGATATTAATGAAATAGAAATTTAAAATATACCAATGTTTATCGGATCTTGACCCAATATTTCCTAAATGCGTCCTTAATTCGTATCGATCGTGATTCCCCAAATATTGGCTGCATGTTGTGTACATTCCATCTCGCAATTCTCGTTCGTATTTTACTTTATCCGCGCCAACATCCAATCTTAACGCGCTGTATTCGTGTTTTGGACTACTCGATCTAAATTGAAATCAAAAAATTTTATTAAACTCTTTTTATTAGAGGTTGATTAGAGATTGAGACACCTAAAAGATTGATTTTTTAAGACAGATACAATTAATGCACAATCAAAATCAACTCTTAAAACTACCTTGATGAGATTCTGACGAGCGAAGTACTTTCTTGAAGCCAGTTTTACTTTAATATACGCCCCTAGACATTGCAACAGAACTCAAGACTAAAATGACCTGATTTGAAACCCCTCGACTTTTCTTATAAGAAGAGACTACTCCTCACAAGAAATTCAACAGTCCGAGGCGCGTCTTTCCGAAAGCATGGAACGATCTGGATATTGAAATGAGATGAATTTAACAGACAGAGTGTAAAGACGAAGGGTGGGTACTTTGAGTTTTGATTATACATTGTTGTTTGTTGATATTTGAATAAAATTTATACCAAATTTCATCGTTCTACGTGCTTCCGTACTATTTTGATCAACTTTTGTGACATCTAAAAAACTAGTTTTCCATTCCACTACACAGCGACACCTAGCGAATATTTTGAAAAATTTCATTATGAAAAAATACTTTCCATCCAATTCTGAACAAGTATTATTTGAAACATTTTTCGATACAACCTATAATTATTAACATAACCTAAAAAAACTGGTTTTCCATACCAGTACACAGCGACACCTAGCGGATATTTTGAAAAATGTTATTAACAAAAATTGTTCTCCATTTAATTCTGAATAAGTATTATTTGAAACATTTTTCGATACAACTTATGATTATTAACATAACCTAAAGAAACTGGTTTTCTATACTAGTACACAGCGACACCTAACGGATATTTTGGATAATTTTCTTAGCAAAAATTGTTCTCTGTACAATTCTGAACAAGTATTAGTTGAAACATTTTCCGATACAAACAATAATTAAAAATATAACCTAAAAAAATTGGTTTTTCATACCAGTACACAGAGACACCTAGCGGATATTTTGGATAACTTTATTAACAAAAATTGTTCTGTGTCCAACTCTAAACAAGTATTATTTGAAACATTTCTCGATACAAACAATAATTAAGAACATAACCTAAAAAAATTGGTTTTTCATACCAATACACGACAACTAGTGGAAATTAAAAAAAATTTTATTAGTGAAAATTGTTCTCCGTCTAATTCTGAATAAGTATTATTTGGAACATTTTTCGATACAACCTATGATTATTAACATAACCTAAAAAAACTGGTTTTCCATGCCAGTACACAGCGACACCTAGCGGATATTTTGAAAAATGTTATTAACAAAAATTATTCTCCATTTAATTCTGAATAAGTATTATTTGAAACATTTTTCGATACAACCTATGATTATTAACATAACCTAAAGAAACTGGTTTTCCATATCAATACACAGCGATACCTAGCGGATATTTTGGATAATTTTATTAATAAAAATTGTTCTCCGTCCAACTTTGAACAAGTATTATTTGAAACATTTCCCGATACAAACAATAATAAAGAACATAACCTAAAAAAATTGGTTTTTCATACCAATACACAAGTAGTGGATATTTAAAAAAATTTTATTAATGAAAATTGTTTTTCGTCTAATTCTGAATAAGTATTATTTGAAACATTTTTCGATACAACCTATAATTATTAACATAACCTAAAAAAACTGGTTTTCCATACCAGTACACAGCGACACCTAGCGAATATTTTGAAAAATGTTATTTACAAAAATTGTTCTCCATTTAATTCTGAATAAGTATTATTTGAAACATTTTTGATACAACCTATGATTATTAACATAACCTAAAGAAACTGGTTTTCCATATCGATACACAGCGATACCTAGCGGATATCTAGAAAAATGTTATTAACAAAAATTGTTCTCCATTTAATTCTGAATAAGTATTATTTGAAACATTTTTCGATACAACCTATAATTATTAACATAACCTAAAAAAAATGTTTTCCATACCAGTATACAGCGTCACCTAGCGGATATTTTGGATAATTTTATTAACAAAAATTGTTCTCCGTCCAACTCTGAACTAGTATTATTTGAAACATTTCTCGATACAAACAATAATTAAGAACATAACTTAAAAAAATTGGTTTTTTATACCAGTATACAGCGACACCTAGCGGATATTTTGGATAATTTTATTAACAAGAATTGTTTTCCATCTAATTCTGAACAAGTATTATTTGAAACATTTTTCGATACAACCTATAATTATTAACATAACCTAAAAAAACTGGTTTTCCATACCAGTACACAGCGACACCTAGCGGATATTTAAAAAAAATTTATTAACAAAAATTGTTTTCCGTCAAATTCTGAATAAGTATTATTTGAAACGTTTTTCGATACAATCTATAATTAATAACATAACCTAAAAAAACTAGTTTTCCATACCAGTACAGGGTGGTTCAAATTCGATGTCCGAATAGACTAATTCGGAAACTGTAAGAGTTAGAAAAAAAGTAGCTTACATGTCATGATCTCGTTTTTCGAGAAACTTCTAATGCCGAAAACCTCATAGCGCTATCGTCTTTTGTTTTTCCGCTAGAGCCCAAAATTGAAAATATCGTAAAACCAGCAAGTGCAATTATCTTGAGAGAATTTTTTGCTAATTACAAAAATATAGGGTTTGACAGGTCTATATCTTATTGTTTAAAAATAAATTTATCTTTTAGTGTCGTCGAAGAAATTAAATTTACAGTTTCCTGTAAATTATAACTAAAAATTAAAAAAACGTACTTCTAATATTTCAAACAAATATAGTTAAACTATTTAATTTATATTTGTTTTACACAAAAGTTGGAATAGATAGCGTTATTTCACATTTTTTATTAATATTTAATATTATTATTAAATGACTTAATAAATTATTGATAGATGGCGCTCATATTTTAATGAATTACGAAAATTTTGAAAAGTTTGACTTGTTAGAATGTTACATATTAAAAAATTATTTGTTTTTAAATACCAGAAGTTATCTTCTTGTTTAATTATTAACTTTTTAGATTTTACCTACCGCCCCGTAACTTACAGGAAACTGTAAATTTAATTACGTCGACGACACTAGATGGAAATTTTTTATTAATTTATTCATTTTATTAATTGAGTTAATTCTAATTTTAATTGATATTTAGTACCAAATTGCATCACTATTATAAAAACTAAATTAATTAATCATTATTAATCATTTTCAGTGTTGGTTATTAAACAATAAACGATTTCATCACGATCGTTGATGAAGAACCTCAATTATTCAATTTCCTGTTCATAGAAGGCCCCTTTGTTCAGCGTTTCGGAAATTAAACGTGAATTTATGACCAACGGGGAATAATAATTACTTGATCTCTACAATTTGATAAGTTTTAATTTATACCCCTTTTGATTTAAGACCCTCCCATTTATTATTTGTCGAATCGATACTCGAAACTACTTGAATTGTAGAAAAATCGTTATTTATAAATTATTCGCGGCAAATCGATTCGTATTTATTTCTAGAAACATTTTATAGTATTAATTTATTTACCGTCTAAGAAAAATGTTGCACGTGATTAATTCGTTCATGGATTTCGTCGTGTTTTCCGAGCTTCTACTTCTGCTCAGCGAAAAAGCGTTGCGTTTCTGAACGGCCGAGTCGGTTAATTGAGGAATTTCAGCGACGCTTTTCGTTCTTTTTGTGATTTTTTTCTTCTTGCGGACGCTCGATCGCGACGGTCTTTCTTGGTAAAACCGATCGTGACCAATTACCTCTTCACCTTTATCTTGATCGTCTTTTTTATTCATGTTTTGATAAAAATTAAACATTTTCGATGCAACCAAGTGGAGAGTTAAACACGTTTCATCACATTCGAAGCACTTTTACAAGTAGCCAAGTTAATTTTTTTTAAACTCATACCTGATTGAAACCTGATCGATAAACGAACAATCTTGTTATCGTATTCGAAAGGCTTCTCGAGGAATTTTTTTTTAATTAATTTTAAATGAAATTAATTTAATTTATTGAAAATAACCTATATTTTCTTTTTGTCTAAAACAGCTGTCAAATTAATTTAAGTTGGTAACAGTTGGTAAGATTAATAGGGAATTTTTGTTATATCATGTTTTTAAATCAATGTCACAACAAACGTCAGTGTGACATAACCTAATTTCAACACTTCTCGATATTTATACTATTAATTGATTTATTTAATTTAAAGTTGTTTATTAAGTTGCTAAAAGTTATTGATAATAATTATTATTTAAGAAATCTCGGAAATGAATTTAAAAAAAATTTAATTAATACCAACAGAAATTCAAAAAAATCTGACATTGACAGGAATTATAAAGAAAAGAAACTATATAAATATTCAATGTAAGGTAATAATAATGATAATAGACCGACAACTCGGGAAAAACGATATTAAGAATGTTGTAGTTGACCAATTTGTGTACCAAGGTGCTTTTATAACTAACACTGGCGACTACAGCGAAGAAATGAAAGGACGTCCAGTTACAGCTAAAAACCGAGATATTGCTATAAATACCAAGGTGTTGCTTGCTAAATCGGATCTATAAGTGGTTATAACATTTTCCGATACAACCTATAATTAAGAACATAACCTAAAAAAATTGGTTTTTCATACCAGTACACAGCGACACCTAGCGGATATTTTGAAAAATGTTGTTAACAAAAATTGTTCTCCATCCAATTCTGAATAAGTATTATTTGAAACGTTTTTCAATACAACCCATAATTAACTACATAACCAAAAAAAACTGGTTTTTCATATCAGTACACAGCGACACCTAGCGGATATTTTGAAAAATGTTGTTAACAAAAATTGTTCTACGTCCAATTCTGAATAAGTATTATTTGAAACATTTTTCGATACAACCCATAATTAACTACATAACCAAAAAAAACTGGTTTTTCATACCAGTACACAGCGACACCTAGCGGATATTTTGAAAAATGTTGTTAACAAAAATTGTTCTCCGTCGAATTCTGAATAAGTATTATTTGAAACATTCTTTGATACAAACAATAATTAAGAACATAACCTACAAAAATAGGTTTTCCATACCAGTACACAGCGACACCTAGCGGATATTTTGAAACATGTTATTAAGAAAAATTGTTCTCCGTCCAATTCTGAATAAATATTATTTGAAACATTTTTCGATACAATCCATAATTATTAACATAACCTAAAAAACTTGGTTTTCCATACCAATACACAGCGACACCTAGCGGGTATTTTGAAAAATGTTGTTAACAAAAATTGTTCTGCGTCCAATTCTGAACAAGTATTATTTGAAACATTCTTTGATACAGACAATAATTAAGAACATAATTTAAAAAAGCTGGTTTTCGATACCAGTACACAGCGAAACCTAGCGGGTATTTTGAAAAATATTATTAACAAATACTGTTTTCCATCAAATTCTGAACAAGTATTATTTGAAACATTTTCCGTTACAAACAATAATTAAGAGCATAACATAAAAAATTGGTTTTCCATGCCAGTACACAGCGACACCTAGCGGATATTTTGAAAAATGTTGTTAACAAAAATTGTTCTCCATCCAATTCTGAATAAGTATTATTTGAAACATTTTTCGATACAACCCATAATTATAACATAACCTAAAAAAAACTGGTTTTTGATACCAGTACACAGCGACATCTAGCGGATATTTTGAAAAATGTTGTTAACAAAAATTGTTCTCCATCCAATTCTGAATAAGTATTATTTGAAACATTCTTTGATACAGACAATACTTAAGAGCATAACCTAAAAAAATTGGTTTTCCATGCCAGTATACGACACCTAGCGGATATTTTGAAAAATGTTGTTAACAAAAATTGTTCTCCGTCCAATTCTGAAAAAGTATTATTTGAAACATTCTTTAATACAAACAATAATTAAGAACATAATCTAAAAAAACTGGTTTTCGATACCAGTACACAGCGACACCTAGCGGATATTTTGAAAAATGTTGTTAACAAAAATTGTTCTCCGTCCAATTCTGAATAAGTACTATTTGAAACATTTTTCGATACAACCCATAATTAATTACATAACCAAAAAAACTGGTTTTTCATACCAGTACACAGCGACACCTAGTGGATATTTTGAAAAATGTTGTTAACAAAAATTGTTCTCCATCCAATTCTGAATAAGTATTATTTGAAACATTCTTTGATACAGACAATAATTAAGAACATAATCTAAAAAAAACTGGTTTTCTTTACCAGTACATAGCGTCACCTAGCAAATATTTTGAAAAATGTTGTTAACAGAAATTGCTCTCCGTTAATTCTGAATAAATATTATTTAAAACATTTTTCGATACAACCCATAATTATTAACATAACCTAAAAAAACTGGTTTTCGATACCAGTACATAGCGTCACCTAGCAGATATTTTGAAAAATATTGCTAACAAGAATTGTTTTCCATTCAATTCTGAACAAGTATGATTTGAAACATTTTCCGATACAAACAATAATTAAGAACATAACCTAAAAAAACTGATTTTCGATACCAGTATACAGCGAAACCTAGCGGATATTTTGACAAATATTATTAACAAAAATTGTTTTCCATCCAATTCTGAACAAGTATTACTTGAAACATTTTCCGACACAAACAATAATTAAGAGCATAACCTAAAAAAATTGGTTTTCCATACAAGTACACAGCGACACCTAGCGGATATTTTGAAAAATGTTATTAACAAAAGTTGTTCTCCGTCCAATTATGAATAAGTATTATTTGAAACATTCTTCAAGGCAAAACATAATTATTAACATAACTTAAAAAAACTGGTTTTCCATACTAATACACAGCGATACCTAGCGGATATTTTGAAAAATGTTATTAACCAAAATTGTTGTCCGTCCAATTCTGAATAAGTATTATTTGAAACATTTTTCGATACAAACAATAATTAATAACATAACCTAAAAAAACTGGTTTTCGATACCAGTACACAGCGAAACCTAGCGCATATTTTGAAAAATGTTATTAACTAAAATTATTGTTCGTCTAATTCCGAATAAGTATTATTTGAAATATTTTTCGTTTCATTTTACATTTTTTAAGTAGCACGCGATCGATAAACGAACAATCTTGTTATCGTATTCTTCTTCGTGGAGTTGTTTTTGAATTAATATTAAAAGAAATTAATTTAATTTATTAAAATTAATCTATTTTTTTTTTATCTATAACAGCTGTCAAATTATTTTAAGTTGGTAACAATTGATGACAGTTGGTTAGATTAACAGGGATTTTTTTATGTCATGTTTTGAAATCAAGTTGTCACATCAAACGTCAATGTGACATAACCTAATTCCAACAGTTTTCGATGTTTTTACTCAAATAAATGAAATAAAATGTATTCGTCTTTGTAAAACATTTTAAAGTGACATTGACAGGTATAATAAAGAAAAGCAACTATACAGACTTGTCAAATAAAATGGAATTTGACACGTTCGAAGAATACTATTTAAATCTGGCTCAAATGAAGTACTATTGGAATTATCGCAATTTCATCGTAAGATTTCTTTCCTTTTCGATGTTTTATCACCAATTTTCAAATGAATTTTCGCAATGACATTTTGCAGCCAGTTAGAACAGTTATGAAACACAAACTAAATACTAATAACTAGATCCGAAATCTCTACTGAATAAAGTAAAAGAAAATGCAATACCAGCTACTTTATGCTACTCCTACTTGATTTGTCAAGCTGTCAATATATATAATATAATATATATATGATTTGAGAGGTGTCAAATTATTTTAAGTTGGTAAGATTAATAGGGAATTTTTGTTATATCATGTTTTTAAATCAAGTTATGTCACAATAAACGTCAGTGAATCAACAGAAATTATTAAAATCTGACATTGACAGGTATTATAAAGAAGAGAAAGTATATAAATATTAAATTTCTTCGAAAGTATTGGAGATTATTTGGGAAAATCCTCATTTACACCTTCTCGTGAGGAAGGGTATTAATATTTTAAACAAATCAGAACGTATCCAAGATTTTCTGAATACGAAGACATTTATGACTAATTTCATACTTGTCAAAATTAATATTGACGGTTGACATTTAAAATGTCAGACATTTAAATGTTTTTAACAAAAAAAAGCAAAAACTAGTACTTCACCTAGAATGCAAAATTGAACGGCGTAATTACACCGCAGTTTCGGTTTGTTAAGCCCATGAAAAATGAGGTTAATTTGAATTTTATTTTCGACGCCCACTTTTTTAATTTCTCGCGCACTCACGTCGTTAACTCGTTAATTATTTACGTGCTTATAATTGTTAATTACCCGATGGTTAAAAGAGATAACGCAATATTTATTACTAGTTTAAAATTAATTCTTTTAGCACTTACTTGCATCTTTTGATCCAAAAGGCGGCGATTGCGAAAATTCCAATCCCAACAAAAACCAAAAACGTTGCAACCTAAATTTATTAAAAAATAAATAAATCAATTTTGATTTATTAAAATTAATTAATTAATTTATGGGTCTTACCCACGGATGGGTTACATTTTGCGTTTGATTCAAAAAATGCCCACGATTTTTCTCGGGAAGTTTCATTTTTAACATTCATCTCCTTTCTCATTCCAATAAAATCATCGATTAAAAAAAATCTGATTTTCTTCTTTGTTTGTTTTATTTTTTCTTTTTGAATTAAACGGTTAAAACGTTGATTGTACAAGGTGTGCGCTTTTCATGTCGGAAACTGACCGGAAAAAACTGCGAGAAAGGGGTATATCACGCGAACCTTATTTCCGACACGCGTCTGGTTAGCTACTGGATTATAGAAAGGGGTTGTTAGAGACGGAATTTGTAGGACACGAAGAACCCCGCTGCAAATTTGTAACTGCCGTAGTAATAATACCGTGTTGTGGATGTGGAGAGACAAGTCGATAAATTTTCAACGCGCTTGCGTTGAAACACCGCAAGAAATTCAAGGGTGAAATCTTTTTATTCAATTTTATGCCAAACGCCAATCGTTCATAACCTCAATTTTTTTTTTGACAAAATAAACATCAATATCGATATTAATAACTAAATTGATTGATTTTGAGACGTTAAATTAATTAAACAAACTTATTAACTTACCCAATATAAATAAAATAACACATTTTTCACAATCACTTTCACACTCGAGATGTAAACAAAGCTAATTGATTGACGTTTAAGAAAAATCAGTTTTGCCAACTTTGAATAATTAAAATAAAAAAAAATAAATTTTAATATTAATTAATAATTAATAACAAATAAAATAAAAAAAAGATTTATTACAAAAAAAGACTTAAATTTAAACAATTATGTAATTATCACACATCATATACAGCTAAATTACAACGTTTAACGTTTATAAATAATTTTAATTATACTTATTGAAAATTAAATTCCATTAACAAATATACTTTTCAATAATTATAAACAAAGTGAAATAGTATAATACATACTTTCAATTAAAAAAATTCAATTAGAATTAAAAAATATTGACGTTATAATTCTCAAGGTCATTGTTACCAACCGAAATTTAAAATAAAAATTAATTTATTTATTTACATCAAAATAATTAATTAAAACGCGGTTTATTGATGTTTTTTTTTTTTTTTTTAATGAACTGTACAAGTCTATTTTACACCCTCTCCTATAAACGAAATAAAAGGAAACTAAAAAAGGGTATGTATTGTATTAAAAAATAATAAATTATTTATTTAAAAAAGCCAGTCTTTAATAATAATTAATTAATCGAATTTAAAGCTTTGATTATTATTATTATTTTTTGAAGTAAAAAATAAACGTTAACAGCGCCGCGATCGCCGTGATCATTAAAGGAACTATTAATGGCGGGACATTTAAATGTACACTCGAATAAATAAAGCTCTATTTACATTTCTTTCTTTTTAATTTCCTTTTAAATAATTGTTTTTAACGTTCGTTGATGTTGATGATGTTGTTGAGGCATTCTCGGTTTTCGATGGGGATGAGATCTCGATGAATGTCTACTACTGGTGGTCATCGTCGATGAAATATGAGATATCTGCGGGGGATGCGTCACCACCAGCGGCATTTGACATTTAACGGCGATTTGTTTTCGGGGCCCCAATCGTTTGCAAACGTTCCTCCACGCGGCGATCGTTTTCTTGGACCATAACCAAAAAATCGTGCTTACTCCGACGAATAACGACATTAAATGCTTTAGGAGGAACGCCCAAAGAGCTGGTTTTTCGGTCCCTCGAAACCAATCGTCGCGATTATTGTATTCGTAACAAATACTGGCCAAAACGCAAGCCGTTGGGATGATGTAAAGGGTCGAAAGGCCTCCTAATATGTCGGATTCTTTTCTTGGGGCTGCTCCGGTTAATGGGGCGGCGGAAACTGTTTGGGGTTTTTTCATAACGTAAATGGAACCGATTGCGAGGAGGGTTACTCCGGATATTAAGTAAAGGGATTGGGGGAGGAGGACTAATCCGAGGAGGATTCCTGAGTTTTTGTTTCCTATGTAACATGTACCTGAAATAGAAAAAGATAATTTAATTAATTAATTTGATATTTTTTTAAATCGATTAATATTCAAGAGGTGTCGTCGTTTATGTTAAAATTTTTGTTTGTTGGATTGGGATAATGAATAAACGTGACTTGAAAAATAAAACTTAAAAAAACAAAGAATCGGTTGGTCTTACAAACACAAAAGGCGACTCGTTGAGACGAGTTTGAATTTTTTTAATTGGAAGGATTCCAAGAATCGTTCACGTCCGGTTGTGTCCAGATGGAACATCAATTTACATTTCGAACTAACTAAATTTGTAATATATAAATCTCGAATTAAGCTGTTCTATTTTGTAATAAAAACTTTGTAAAACGTATTCTTTCAGTACTCTTCTGCCACAATAATAATATTAATTGGATTCCATATTGATAAAAGTTGAATAACAACCAAGTTCTATTATTTACCAAAAAGTCCGAATTTTCAACTTTTAATTTTGACATATTTGTCAACTTCATAAAAAATCCTTTAAAATGAGTCCAAACTCGACATATTTAACTTTAATATTAATAAAAATACGATCACTTCCGGTTTGAAACGTCAACGTCAATTTCGACATATTTGTGATCTTCATTAAAAAACCTTTAAAATGAGTCCAAACATGACGCACTTATCTCAAAAAACAAAAAAGTTAGAATAAAAAACATTAAACCCGAAGTTAGCAACAATTTAATTTTTAAATATTAATACCAACCTAAATTTTTGATTTTTTTTTATTATATTTTTCTTTTTGTGACAAATATTAAGACATTTTATAGAAATTAAGAATATGTCAAAATGATATTGACATTTCAAACCGGAAGTTGCTTATATCTCGAGTAATATTGGAATTAAACGTATCATGTTTGGACTCATTTTAAAGGATTTTTCACGACGATTACAAATATGTCAAAATTGACGTTGACATTCTTAACCGGAAGTTGATCGTAACTTCATTAATATTGAAGATAAGTATGTCGTGTTTGTACTCATTTTAAAGGATTTTTAATGAAAATTACAAATATGTCAAAATTGAGGTTGATATTTTAAATGTGAAGTTAGTTATCATATAATAAAAGTTTTATAACTGAAGTTAATCTAGTGTTAGTCACTTTTTTTTAACTTTCTTAGCACAATATTGACAACCGCAAACACTACAAGATATAAGCCAAACACCACGCCACAATATATTGAAAACTTAATAAAACAAAAAAGACGTAAATGACAAAAAAACTCGAAATACAGCATTAAAACCAGAAATCAACAATATGTTTCCGAATTTAAAAGTGGCAGTACAGGTTTGTGCAAGTACAAATGGTACCTTGAAGAAGTATTATCAACAGAGATGTTTACCTAAATATTGCCAACATCAACAGCATGGAAAATTAAATAATTCTTCAAGTTACTCCATCGTGTTCCGAACATTGAAACATTAGGTGTGCTTACAACGATAATTAATGCATATGTTAGGTTGAGTCAATTTCCCAATTCCTGGAAGTTTGCTCATATTTTTGTATTTAATAAACCCAATAAACAGAAAAACATGTAGAGAGCTACAAAACCAATCCCAATACAACATCAAAATTATTGGAAAAAGTAATTCAAAGACGAATAAGGTTACATAACAAAACAGCAACAAACTAAGTTTTTATCAACTATGTAGAGTCAGAGAATATATAGAGACTGGACACGATTCGAAGATGTATTCTGAGTACCACAGGTTTTTTTTTGCCAAATTATAATAGTTGAATTGCAATCAACCTTAATCTAATTAAGGAAGGGCTATCTCTAATACTAATATTTCAAAAACTTATTCTTGTGCCAAAAGAATATTTAAAAAAGAACTTCGCTTGTTTAACAGCAACGTAGAATCAGTCCTCCTGTATGAGTATGAAACATGAAAGGTAACTAAGGGGATGTCAAACAAATTAATCATTGTCTGCGATGCATTATAAATATGGGCCGATATCCAATGAAGACTTGTGAGAAAGAACAAAATCGACCCATAAATCACCAAATCAAAGAGAGGAAATGGTGTTGGATTTGGCCAGACGCTAAGGAAGCCTCATGGAGCAGTTGAGATGTCAGGAGTACGGAGACGACACGTCTAAGACCAGATGGAGAGTCAATGGCAATGAAAATATAACAATTTTCATATATATACATGGACTTCTCCTGCGTATAATCAAACTAGAATACTAAGAAATCAAGTTGACTACATATGTATAAGAAAAAAAGTTTAGAAACTCACTGACATTAGTGAAAACGTAAGAACATAACCATACAAATCAGAAGAATGAAAATAGATATTGAAAATGAAAAACAATTCTAAACAAACTAGATAAAAAAATTAAAGACACACAGGGCGAATAGCATTACTGGAAGAAAGATTGACATATTCAAAACACTAAGGAGGCAGGATCAGACGAGACATGCACATAAACGCAAACAATAATAATGCGTGAAGATAGCATCAAAACGCTCGCATGTTTGTATGATCACCTAGAGTGTTGTTGTCAAAAGAATCAGATTCCATAGCATAATACACTGTGGGCGATACAATTAAGAAAGCTGATTTGAAGTTTGTTCTGTACTACTACTAAACCCAATAATATAATAATAATAAATTTAGGAACTGTAGACAGGGGGAAAAGCAAGAAGACTACTAGAGGTCTCTGTTGACGAAGAATGGAAATTGTAAAAAAGTGCCCGTTCTTACAAAGTACCAGATTTAAAGCCAGTCCCAAATCTACACGATCAGTTTGAGGTTGGAACTCCGTTTTTACACAGTATGTGGTGGATCAAGTGCACTAATTTTTTTTTGGCCATTAATCTCTTTTTTCCTCTGCTTGTTCAATTGTTTAGCATGCTAATGGGCATACTCTAATGGATCGTAATAGAAACACAAAATCAGAGAAAAATGCAAAAGATGGCAATACATACAGGGTGTCTCAGCGAGACCGGTCATTAGACGTTTCTGGGGTTCTGGCGAAAATAAAAATTTGAGAATTCAGACTTAAGTATTATCAATTACGATCTCTTCGTCTAAAATATTTTCAGATTTCTTGCACTTCCGGTTATACCGGAAGTCGCCACCAACTTTATTTTTTTAAATGGAACACCCTGTATATTTTTACATATTTGGATTTGTCTGTTTTCAAGGTTTATAAATAACTTTACTTTTTGCAATTTGATTCGGTCGTTCTCGAGTTATTCGAATTTTTCTAGAAAAATCTGCTCCAGCAGACATTTGTTCAAAAAATCAGAAAACACTCAATTTTTGGGATATCAATTTAGGATTGAGAACATGCTTAAGCAACATGATGGAGTATGTTTTGGTGCCGAGAACTGCGGTCTAGAACGTTTGATCACTTTACTATGGCACGTTAACTTTTCAAAATTTGGAAGTACCATAACTTCATTTTTTTAAATGGCACCCCCCATATTTTATTTTTTAGTCGTCTTCGGTGTCTCATTCTACATCTTTTATATCCCATATGGCCCATACCTAATATTAATAGTTTGGGAGATAATTAGGGTTTTTTGAAAAATGCACACATATCATATGGATATTTAGCCTAGTGTGCCATGAAAAACAAGCCTTCTCAATGAGTTCTTGTCAAAGACTCACTTGTTTACGTCACTTGATGCATGTGAGCTAATAATTATCTGTTATGTCCCTTAATATTAGTACTGAAACGAGTTAAAATCGATAACAATAACGAAAGTAATATTTACACAAATCAAGAAATTCTTAATTTATTTTTTTTGCATGAAAAGCGCGACAAAGTTCGTAGTATGATTCCCAGATCTTCTTTGGCAGCTCGAATTGAGGTGTTGGGACTGGGCTCGAAATAAGCCAAGGTATTCACCTCTTCCGTTGCATTATCTACTACATTTTTTGGTCAGTTTAACACGTGATTAATTCGTCCAAAATGCAAAAAATTTGCTTCTATTCCTCTAAATTTACCTTTTGTCATCGGAGATAAATGTGGATAATTTTCATTAAACATTCTGCAAGTTCTACTAAGAACTTTGTCGCACTTTTCGTGCACAAAAATTAAATTATGGATTTCTTCATTTGTATAAACATTATTTACGTTATTAATATCCATTTTAACTGGTTTTAGACTCACAAGCATCAAACAACCTAAATTAGACTTTGACGTTTATCAATAAGTCATTAAACATTTGTTTTCCATGGCACACTAGGTTAATATCCATATGATATGTGAGCATTTTTCAAAAAACCCTAATTATTTCTCAAACTATTAATGTTAGGCATAGGACATATGGAATATAAAAGATGTAAAATGAGACGCCGAAGACGACTAAGTAATAAAATATGGGGGGTGCCATTTAAAAAAATGAAGTTATGGTGCTTCCAAATTTCGAAAAGTTAACGTATCATAGTAAAGTGACCAAACGATCTAGACAGCCGTTCTCGGCACCAAAACATACTCCATCATGTTGTTTAAGCATGTTCTGAATCCTAAATTGATATCTCAAAAATTGAGTGTTCTATGATTTTTTGAACAAATGTCCGCTGGAGCAAATTTTTCTAGAAAAATTCGAATAACTCGAGAATTGCTGGTTCAAATTGCAAAAAGTAAAGTTATTTATAAACCTTCAAAACAGACAAATCCAAATATGTAAAAATATACAGGGTGTTCCATTTAAAAAAATAAAGTAGGTGGCGACTTCCGGTATAACCGGAAGTGCTAGAAATCTGAAAATATTTTAGATGAAGAGAACGTAATTGATAATACTTAAGTTTGAATTCTCAATTTTTTATTTTGGCCAGAACCACAGAAACGTCTAATGACCGGTCTCGCTGAGACACCCTGTATACATAAAAGATCGATAGGAAGACCTTCAAAGCGATGGAAAGACAGCTGGACTTCAGTATCACAAGAGAACCAGAATCAGGATTGACGAAGCGTGATAACAAGTCATAAGGCTTTTGATAAGAAGAATAGTATTCAGT